CCCGCCCAGGTCCTCTTCTGATGCTGCAGTGTAGTTTGCTTTTTAACTTCGCAACGGGCTGTGTATTCAAGTGTTTCGTCAGCTAAGAAACATTTCACTAAAAGAAGCATTTTCAATATACCAAGTTTCTCCGTTATCAGCAAAAACTTTTCAGATGTGTTATTTCAGCTAAAATTCTTTGTGATGGCTAAGCCACGTTAATTCTTTCTCTCTGTCATGCTTAAGAATCCATTGTCAAGCCTGGTGGGGAATCTCTCCCATTGAATTAAATACTAGCGTCTAGGTTTAGCATGAATTCCCACTGCATGGCTGCATCGGGTCTTTTATCACTCTCATCACTTCAGCGGTCAGCAGAGTTCAGCGCATTGTTTGGCAAAGAATAAAAAGTATTATTGTGCCTGATGCTGCAGTGAAAATTCATAAAATATAATTCGGGAATGAGAAGGAGGGGAGACATACTTTTTTTTAGGAAGCTGGCAAAGTTCAGTATTGGTTACTGCAAACACTTTCTACAGAAGCAGCAAGAATTATTCCCACTTTCTGGAACATAGGACTGGAATTTAGGCCATTCCCTGGGATCTGAATTTCTTTCTCTTCTCAACTGCCTGCATGTAACATAAGAACATTTCTCACAATTTTCTGAACTTTATTAAAATTGTAACAAAGCAAATTTATTGGACAGCTGTGTCGTAATGCTTGTGAAATAAAACATTATTGGAAAATAAGTCTAAAACTTAGATTTTTTTAGAACTGCCATATTCTGTTAGAAACTTTCTTAGACCCGAGTTGGAGTTTTTTTAATCGTCATAGATATGTAAGCACTGTGGTCAATCAGAATAAGAAATATTGTCATGCTAGGTTACCGAGCTTTTCAAGTCTGTTAGTTTCATATACTAATACAACTGAGTAGTATAACTTTTACTTATTTAACTGCATTGAATCTAGCATTGGTTTCTGGATATTTCCAAGGTATTTTTAGGATTTAAGAACATTCAGAGTTGAAAGGTCCTCAGGAGGTCCGTCCTCAGTAGTGCAATCTCCTGCTCAAAACAGTGTCTGCTATCAGGTCAGACCAGGTCACTCAGGGCTTTGTCCTATGGAGTCTTGAAAACTTTCAAGAATGGAGACTGCACAAGCAATCTGAGCAACCCGCTCCTGCTTGACTGTCCTCATTAGAGCAAAGAGGTCTGGACCTCTATCCAGTCTGAACCTCCTTTTTTCAATTTATGCCTGTTGTCTCTCAGTCTTCCTTGTGGTGGCTTAGTGCACTTGTACCTAGAAACACAAATCTGTCTCTCTACCGTGTAGCTAGATTGACTTTTTTGGGGGGTCTGTTTCTTCAAGTAAGATTTCTTTGGATGAAAGTATTGCATAGCCTTTAGAATTATCTGTTTACTAAAATCATATAGGACTCATATTTGATCTTAAACATCTACATAGTCCTGTCAGGTTTTTTTTTAAAGTGTACATACTGTTGAAAGGCAATGTTAAATGCTGCAGGGATTCACATAACTGCAGGTAAATTGAATAGCAGGTTTTTATTAGAGCCCAATGAAAACCAGTGAGGATGCTAAATGGATTGTCAGGGAACTGAAGGAGACAGACTTGCATTATTTCTAATAGGTCTGGTCATTGAAATTAGGATGGAGTGTGTTACATTAGAGACTAGACTTGATGGAGATGTAGAGTTATACCCTGTTTGGATGGGGGTGTAGTGAAAGCTGTAAAAAACAGATGGGGGGAGGAAAACCTAATCACCTAAAACCTGTTTTTATTTAAGTGTTTTATATGAATCTATGTGCTAGCACACTCTGACCAGTTTGCTGAAACATGGTTTATTCATTTTATCTGCCGTTAAAAATCACTGGAATGTTGTCTGTTGACTATGAAAGCCTGTCTTTCTCTTATTTGTGTGTCTGTCTTCTGATAGAGAAACTTTTATTGGCTTTGTCTTGGTAATTTTATGCTCTTTTTTTAACATATGTTTCTTGGGTTTGGAAGAACATGAGTACTAAGCGTAGACAATAGATATTTGCTTGCATGTATTCTGAAACTTATTCTTGCCATGTGAGAAATGTCATAGAATCCTAGAATGGTTTGGGTTAAAAGGAACTTTAAAGATCGTCTGATTCCAAACCCCCTGCCATGGACTTTCCACTAGCCCAGGTTGCTCAAGCCCTATCCATCCTGGCCTTGAACACTGCCAGGGAGGGGGTGTCCACAACTTCTCTGGGCAACTGGTTCCAGTGTCTCAACAGTGTCTCAGTAAAGAATTTCTTCTTTATATCTGATATAATTCTGCCCTCTTTCAGTTTAAAACCCTTACCCCTTGTCCTATCACTGCATTCCCCAATACAGAGTCCCTTCCCATCTTCCCTGTAGGACCGCTTTAAGTACTTGAAGGCCACTGTAAGGTCTTCTCTTCTCCAGGCCGAACAACCCCAACTATTTGAGCCTGTTCGCATAAAGGAGGTGCTCCAGCCTCCTGATCATCTTTGTGGCCCCCCCTTATACATCTGGATAAGGTAGCTGGGAAACTAGTCATGATCTGGAAGAACACAGTGAAATATTATAGTGAAGATGTAGCAGGATGCAGGAAGCCATCAAAGTTGTCCTCCACCAGTACAGGGGGAAGGTTCTGGGTTTGGCCGTATGTTCCTCTTGCTACCTTGCTCTGGTGCTCCTTAGCATCCTCTGAATCCAGTTTACTCAGTTGACAGAATTATGCCAGTGAACAACTGGATAGGTTGCTGCATTTCTAGTGAGTTTAAACAGCTCAAAATAGAGTTTATTGTCAGAAGAGGCATGAGGGAAGGCAGCTTTTACAGTGCTTTGGCTGTCCATGAAAGCACAGCTTCAGGTCCATGCTGGGCCTGTGTTTAGGGAACCCCCTTGTTTCTCTGTTTGTCTTTATATTTGTAGATAATAGTGCAATATAAATGTATACATTTATAGAAATGGTTAATCTGAGAAGTCTGACCCTAAACCTCATTTAATTTTGCAGTCTCCATGAAACGATTAGATTAAATGCAGGGATTCATTGGGGATTCAGAGTCTCGTTGACTGTGAGTATATATGAGCATGAGTAAATTTAGTGGAGTGTTAGAGATGCTGCAATGGTAAGAATGGGAAGTAGGCACGCAGGGAACTGATCAAAATGAACCTGGGCTCTGTGTTGTAGGCTTGTTCATTGAGTTCAGGATGAGAGTGTGAATATTTGGAAAGGGTGGAGTAATTTATCTTCAGGATTGTGTCCACAAAAAATAACTCTTTCAGAGTTTCCATTTTATTAAGAGAGTTTCCCTAAGAGGGAGACTAAATAGTGTGTCTTGCTGAAATTCAGACACGAGTTTAAAAATGAAAAGTTCATATTCAGAATGTGTAGTTGAGATGTGTGACTGCAATGTGACATTGTAAAGGCTTCAAAAAGGTTCAGAAAAAGAACTGAACAAGTTTTTGGACTATGCATTTGTCAGTTATTATATTGTTGATCAGGCTTCCAGAGTTCTTAATGCTTTGATGTGATGCAAGCTATGATGGATTCCCAGGAGGATACATGTTCCATATATGTTGTATGTATAGGAGGATATGTGTTCTGTTTATGTTGTATTTCTTAACTCATAAGTGGCCAGTAATGCATATGTAGGTCATTCCAATACAGCAGGTCTTATTGTAACTAAGACTTTACTCATGATTTTAAAATAAGTCAGAAATTTTTATTTTGACATGGTTTTTTTTTTTTTCTGTTATTTTCTATTAACTGGAGGATACTGATGTTGTTTTAAAAGGAAAGTCAGTTCATATTAATGCTTAACACATGCTTTCTAGTAATTGTTTACACTAAACCACATCACTTTTTATGCAGGAGACGTATGAGAATATTCCAGGCCAATCTAAGATCACGTTCCTTCTACAAGCAATCAGGAATACTGCTGCTGCTGAGGAGGTACGTCTTAGTAATCTTTGAATTCTTCAGATTTTTCAAGGGAACTTGGAGAAGGGGGGAGGAAATCGGTGCTAGTCATTTTGGGATAAATGAACAAGTTGTGTATTAACTGAATAATCTTAATTTACCGCACATTTGTAGAGGGACCACTCATCTAGTTTGCTTGTGTCAAGTTCGCTGGCTTAGACTTTTTCATGTAGGATATTTAGTTTCAAAAGTAGTCTTTCATAAGTGACTGTTTATATCTCCATTGTTTTCTGGTTGTGTCTTTTGCTTAATGAATGGATTCTTTCCTTAAAATGTGTAACTAATAGATGACTGTTACTGTGATGTTCCTTCAAGTTACAGCTGAGAAATGCTTTCTGTTTTGGGGTCCTGTGCCTAAATGTGTTAAACTTATGTATCATCTGAAACTTCACATGTTTCTCAAATCGGAATTGGGGGGAGATAAGGTAGCATTTCTTTTGCATGTTTTATGCAGATGGCTTTTGTATTTTGTCCTATTTGTAGAGGATATGCTCATTAAGTCATCTAGCAGTGTTACAGAATGAATGGAGAGCAGTCTAAGCATTATATAAAATTTTTCTGTGGGCATACAATAAGTGTGCCTGTTAGTTATTCTTTAGTTTTGTAAAGGCTCACATGCTTTAGCAATCAGGTATAGTACTGGTAAAACTATTATTCACTTGAATATGCAGAGTAAGGAACTACTAAGCTTTCAAGATACTACAAACTTCAGAGTCACTTAAAAGTAAAAATGTTTGACTTATTTTTTTCAAATCTAGAGTTTCACTGAACAATGGAAAGATGTAGCATGTAGAATTTCTGAACAATATTATAATAAGTATAAGTGTGCAGTTTCTTTCTGGATAATGATCTTTCCTGGTAGATTGTATTTGATTTAGAGATAGATGCTATTTGTGCTTTTTAATGCTCAGTAAGTATCAGCTTACTAATACCGATGCTTATCTACTTAGAAGGCAGTATTCTGACAGAATCCTTCAATATTATTCTAGCAAGTGGTTGCATAAGAGCTATGTAGTTTTCTCTCCTGACTCTCTGAGATGTTTCAAATGATAGAAAGATGTAGAGCAGTCTCTCCTGTATTTAAAATTGCCATGAAAAATAGGATCTACCTCTGCCCCTTTATCAGAACAGCATCATAGAAAATGATCAGAATAGTTGGATAATACTGTGCCCTAGAAGTCATAGCTGCATTGCACATGCTTGTTTTGCATACATTTGAGAAGTCTTGAGTTGACGGCTACAGAGTCATGCTTGCGTAAATAAATACTTGCTGCTTGTATATATTGATTTTATTCCCTTTACATCAGCTAAGGAAATAGCCCAGTCTGAAATTTATTCAAAATCTTGCCAATGACTTGGCTTCCAACTTACTCAAGTGCAAAGAAACTTTACACCTGTAGAAGTTACTCTTACCAAAGACATCAGAGGTTAACATTTGTAGAATAACTTGACGTTTAACTCTACCAATGGATAAATCAAAGACAGGTTTAAATGTTAGCTCATAACTTAAGTAGATGTTAGGTGCTGAACTCAAAAATTCTGGTTAATAAAACTTGAGAACAACTTATCTTCCCTGAAAATCCAAATACATAGTAGCCTAATTAGAGCCTAAATGAAATCATCCCCATGCTTGATCTAAACATTGCATATAAACATGCAGGAAAGCATTTTGTGCGTGTTCAGTATGGTGCTGGTATCAACAGCTAGGCATTTTGTGCCTGCATAGGTTTTACATAGAACCACGTGTTCGACAGGATGGTGCAGATAGGGCTTTGGGCCTGATGCGTGTCTTCTGAGCATGTTGAATGTACTGGCATCGCTGAATACAGGCTGCTGGAGGAAGCCTTAGAACTTTAAGGATGCCTTTCCCAGGCTATGGGAAAGCTAGGTTTAGATCCCTCTTCATCCTGAAGCCTCTGTATTGGTTTACCTCCTCCCAGGAAAACTAGGCCGAAGAAAATACTCCATCCTGTTTTCAGGAGCTGTGCTGCTGTGCTGTAGAGAATACAAGATTCATAGGACTATTTGGACAGTGTTTGGGGGAATCCTGATGCCGCAACCTAGTAGTTTGGGCATTTGAATGGAGAAACAGGGATTCAGGTCCTGCTTCCAGGACCCCATGCATTTGGCATGGAAAAAAAAATTAAGCTAGATCAGAAATAACTCTTTAAAAAACTGTTTAACAGGTTTTCTCCTAACCAAATGCCTAAACTGTGGAAATAATCACCTTTTCCCTCTGTTCTCATTTCATACTTTCCCGATAACAGAGTAACACTGTTCACGGAAGTGGAGAGAAGAGTCTGACTTAGCTGATAGAACACTTCTATGCCAGATGATAATGTGAATTTGTACACCTCAGGTTGAGGAGGGGCTTGAACCCAGGTCTCCCAACTTCCTGAACATGTAGTCTCACTGCTATGAAGTTAGGACTCTACTTCTTCCTATGAAACTGCATTTTAAAGGTTTGAACAGAAAGTGGTATGTTTTCACAGTTTATCTGATGATTTTTTTTCCTCAGGATGTGTCTCAGCTGTTAGAGGCTGTTCCATTGCAGTTTTGATTTACCACCTCTTGGAGAGGAACAGAAGCTCTGCATTTTCTCCTGCATTTGTGTTCTTCCTGGTTAACTCCTGACTGGCAGTTGTCAATCGTGTCCTAATTTACAGTGACTAATTTCAAGCCCTGAGAAATACAGTAACAAATGCTGTGTAAAACTGTTTCTGCTGTACTAACAGCCCTCTTTGAGGGCTCTGACCTTTTCCTTCCCCCTCTCCATATTGTCGAATGAAGGGGTTACATTTCTTAGTCTGAAAACTACTTCTCTGGAGAGCTTCCTGTTCAGCATTTGGAGGGGAAGGAAGGCAGCCCATGGACTTCTGATGCACCACATCTGCCTTTGAGTTGTATGCAGACCTTAGGCACTGCACGCTTTTAATTCCACATGGGGCTGGGTTCCTGAAGGAGATTGTGCAAGTCCATCTTTGGACCATGTCCTAAATATTAATTGCTTCCATCCATGCATGTTTTTCTCCTTGAGGAGCAAGTTCGTGTTCTTCTTGTGCCTTGGTTCCATCATCTGTAAACTCCTAGAACATTTTTAAAGCTCTGTAAATGCTATTCATAAGAAGCAGTATATTGAAATCTGAGTATTGTGATGGCTTTTTATGTTAATACCTTTGAAATTCTAATTGTATGTGAGCATCTCAGTAATTTAGACATGGAGAAGAATCCAATGCTAGGAGAGAAATCTGCTTGTTTTATATTTCATTGGTAGATGGAGGTTTTTCTTTGGGGAGGTACACTTTATATTGCTCCTGTTCTCATTAAAAGCTATAGCTGCTAAGTTGCAAGATTTTAAAATGCTTGTTTATGTACATGTTTTGTAATACTTAAATATAAAAGAGTATTTGGGATGTGTGAAAAATACATACTTCCTTCCTTAAAGCATAAGAAACAGCCCCAGAGCTACCATTAATCCAGCCATGTTGGTCATAATTAAATTGACAATGGTAATTTTCGTACATAGGTGGATATCTGCTGAGGAAAATATGCCATTTATTATTAGAAGTCAATTGCTTCTTTGTTACTCCTTCAAACATTTGAATTTGCTTTAGGGACTTTGGGATATTTTTTTTTTAAGCAAGTAACAATAAACAGGCACTAAATCATGTAGTGCTGATCTTGAGTCTTTCTGTATGGCTTGTTACTGGTGTTCTTACTTTGCAGTCTGTCTGTGTTTGTTAATCTTCTATTTTAAATTCTTCAGAAGTAGAAGTTCTTATCTTTGAAACTATGTGCTTTATGAAAACAAGCTCTCTTCCCTATCTGGCCACCTATTATTACTTCAGGAAAGGAATTAATATAATGTGAGTTCAGTCATTATCAGATGTTAGAGAATATGCACGGAAACATGATGCCCTGAGTGAGGGAAGACATTGCATTGGTGTGTGCCTTGTTTAGTCCCAGCAAACTTGCTGCCTAGTCAAGGCTTATCCTATATAAGTTCACCATACTAAGGAGGAGAAATTTAATCTTTAACAATATTGGATGGGAGAAGGAAAGATACCATTATGTTGTGGTGCCATTAAAGTTGTTGGACACATTGCTAGTGGGATTCCCAGAGGCAGCAAAGAAAGAGTCTTTCTCCTTCCTCACTCATACTCCCTGTGTGGTGACTTATTGCTGGAGAGCCTTGGCTTACAGCACAGGTGGGCACCTGCTGTCTTCCTTAGATCTACTAGGGAAGATCTGCTAATCCTGCATACGTGGTAGCTTTGGTCCACACTAGAACTGTTAAGGAGAGGAGATAAGGAATGTTCTGAAGTAAGGTCCAATTCTAGTCCTTTCTTTGTGCAAGTATAGAGATTTTGTGTACGCTACTGTTTAGCTGTATAGAAGAGAGATGGGTAGATTGTGAAAAGGCATGGTGTGCCTAGAGACTGCAGAACATAACAGGAGTAGTATTTTGGGTGACGTTCTAACAATAGCTGATTTTTACAGGTACATTAGAAGTTGAGACTTCGCAGCAGCTTGCGTTTCTCACCTATAGGTTGCGCAGTGTAGTTGAGAGATCTTTTGGAAATTGGATGTCATTAGTTCTGCTGCTTATTGAATGTTCTTGAATTCCAAAGGCTGTTACAAGTGAAACTATTTATCATTCAAGTACATGTTATATAATAATATCTTAGGAAAAGAAACTGAGTACACGTTGCATTGGATTGTTTTTTGTGGGGATTCAACATGTTTAAGCTTTTGTTATACATGTTAAAATTTAGAAGTTTGGGGGGTGTTTTTTAATTACTGTTTGTCCTTCCAGAAACACTGGTTAGTGAACATCCTATTTAGTAAGTTATTCAGAGTGCTTCATGTGTCTTTTTGCCTTTACTGCATGTGTTGTTCTATTAATTTTGAATTACTCGGCCATATTTTTTGCTTCTAGTTCTTGTATAATTGTAAATAAATACAGATATGTAAATGATCCTGTTGTAGAATTACTGTATGCAAGCAGGAAGCATAGAAGATTGTAACAGGTGGTATTGAGGTTCCTATGCTCAAATTCAAATTTAAAGAAAAACATTTCATCCTAGGTCTGTGAAAAGCTGAAGGCTTTGGGGTTATTTTTTGTTCAGAGTGGAGTTTTATTTGCCAAAATCTAATTCTGGGTTCCTGAATCTTCAGGGTGGCGTTTGGTTGTTAGAGAAGGAGGGTTTACAGATTAATTGTCTGACAAAGTTGTCCCATTAAGTCACTTGTTAATCCAAAAAACCCTGTCTGGATTATAATTATCTCGGCAGGCTGTTTAAAATAGAAAGAAGACATGCTTTAAACATCTTTCAGTAATGCAGCTAAGTCTTTAACTTGCCACAAAATATGTCCAAGGTTCAGCTCTAGAAAAAAACTGAATACTTAGTGGATTTCATTATTATCTCTTTGAAGAGCTGTAATTATCAGAAACATAGTTGTAAACTGGTGTTACTTTGCTATGTTTTTACTTACTATCGGAATTGTCATCTGTTGCTTGAGAGGTATTCCATTCACCAAGTCTACACAGTGAGAACTGATCATTCAGAAGTGTAATGTCAGTTATCTTTCTTCATAAGAACATGAATATCATAACGAAACACTTTAACATACATACTTTCTTACTCAATAGGCTAGACAAATGGCAGCTGTCCTTTTACGACGACTTTTGTCTTCTGCTTTTGAAGAAGTTTATCCAGCTCTTTCACCTGATGATCAGACCTCTATCAAAAGTGGATTGCTGTTGATTATTCAGTTGGAAACACAGTCCAGTATGAGGAAAAAAATCTGTGACATCGTTGCTGAATTGGCCAGGAACTTAATAGGTACTTTATATAAGCTGATACTGTAGTAAAATGTTTATGTATTGATAGTAGTTGTATTTTTATCTCTTGTTCTCTTGTGTAGGCATTTGCACATGATATACTGACTGATTTCATGGTTTAAAACAAAACTTAGTATTTATTTGCATTATTCTTAATCAGATAAAAATAAGATTCTTTAACTCTGCTTTTTAAATTGCTTGAGTTTAAATGATACAGTATTAAGTTTTAGAAATCCAATTTTGTTTAAATTCTCATGAATGTTATGCTGAACATCTGCATCAGTTTCTTTTTCGAGTGCTGTTATGCAGCAGTAAATATTGATCATCTTGTGTTCCAGAGTGCCTTTAGAATTGACACTTCAGCCATATTTTACACTGCAACTTGGACACATCTTCAGTTTAGTAGTCATGACTGGTTGCCCTGCACAAATGAAATCTAACCACTCTTAAGTTTGCTTATCCGAAAACTTTGTTGTGTTTAATCTAGATGAAGATGGTAACAACCAGTGGCCAGAAGTTCTGAAATTCTTATTTGATTCTGTCAGCTCTCAGAATGTGGGACTGCGTGAGGCTGCTCTACATATTTTCTGGTAAGCTTTCAGACTTTGCTGTGTTTTTGCAGTTTAGCCAAATCATGTCTATAAAAAATGTAAGGGAAAATTCTCAGAACTTAATTAACAGGCAATCATATATATTTCATTTATTCTGTTGTATGGCGATTTACTTAACTCTTACATGTACAGTGTAGCTTAAACAATGGATAAATGTGAAATAACAGTTAAGGTTTAACTGTGTGAATTCTTATTAATGTTTTGGTCTTTCTCAACCTTAGGAATTTTCCTGGGATTTTTGGGAATCAGCAGCAACACTATTTGGAGGTCATTAAGAGAATGCTGGTTCAGTGTATGCAAGATCAAGAGCATCCATCAGTAAGACTTTTATGTTCTTTTTTTAAAATTATTAAGTCCTGAGAATAGAAACTTAGTGTAGTAGTCTCAAACGTAAAGGCTGAACTGTAGATTCCAACCAGAGAACTGCATTACTTAAAACTGATTAAAACACGTTACTTGTGTATTACTGATGTACACTTGGAGTTTTGACGGTGCGTACTGTAAACAAAAGGGTCGAACCCTTTCATGGTCCTAAAGCTGACTGGCATATTTGCATGGCTTAGGTCCAAACTCTTGCTTAGTAGTTATGCTTGGAGAAACCTTGTTGTAGTGGCCCAAAGCAGAGCCAGGGCTTTTAGCCAGCATCCTGAGGGTTAGAAACTCCTTGCTAAGCTCCCTTTCTGGCCCTTGTGTTTAACAGTATCGATACATAGTATCTCTACACATAATATCTGTACACAGTATGTCTCAAAACTGCATACACGACAGCTCCTTGAACTGTTTGTGCATGCTTTGTTTAAGGGCATGTTAGCAAGCCTTGTTTTTCTGGAAGGCTTCACATTTATTGATTTGTGCAGAGAATTGTACTTTGAAAATATTTCTCTTGTGAAAAAATGCTGGGCAAGGATAGGAAACCCTGCTGTGGTATATGGGTTCAGTTTGCTGCTCCCCCATGGATTACTTTTTCTGACCTTTGAAAGTCAACTGAGTAACATTTTCTAAAGTACCACAAGTCATGCCTTTAAAAAAGCATGTTTTAAACACTGAGATCACACTTTTTGAAAAATGGGACTTTGACGCTTGCATGCACATTTGAAATTGGGATGGAAGTTGAAAACAATAGTGTTTTTCTTTTTTCTTTCATTAAAAATAAAAAACAAACCCAGAACACCAAAACAAAAAACAAGCTAAAACAAAACTAGGGAATACTTGCCACCTTGTAATATGATAAACTTTTTTTGTATCATGGAGGACATAGATGTTGAAGAACTTCATTATTGCTTTAATTTGAAGTGAGATTTAAAATCCCACGTTAAAAACTAATTGCTGTATCTATTAGGAAAATGTAAAAGGGAGATGATAATACAAAATGTAGTCTCATAATAGGCCTCATTTTAATAGAAAACAAAAACATGTTTTGTTACCATTTCTTCATGCTTTTTTTCTCCAATCCTGCCTGTCTTTCTAGATCAAGACTCTATCTGCTAGAGCTGCAGCTGCATTTGTGCTTGCTAATGAGCACAATCTTCCCCTTCTTAAACATTTTGCAGACTTGCTACCTGGAATCTTGCAGGTAAGAAACCACACAAGTAACACTTAATGTGCCATTACTTCCTGTATTGACTGTATCCAAACATAAATTATTGGTCTGCAAATTTGTGTAACATAGGAGTTTTTGCTGACACTTAGATTAACTACATTTTAGCGTGACATCAGTCACCAGCAAAATACAGTGGAAACTGATAAGGAATTTTGTAAACACAAGGTAATTGCTAGGGTTTTAAAGAAAATAGTTCAATGCTGATTAATTTATACAGTGTTACCTAGATAAGTGAGGTAAAATTCTTTGTGAGGTATCATACGGGTTTTAAATTAACCATGATATTGAAATAATGGGCTATTCTGAGATTTCAAGTAATCAGTAATTGGGAAATTCATTGACCTATGATATCCTGTATCTCCAGTTTAGAGGAAAGTTAGGAATTATTCTGAACAAAGATTCTCAGAGTAGGAACAACAGTCTGGATAAATGATCTTTATTGTTTGATAAATTAGAAACTTGCAAACAAAAAATTAATTTTTAAACTTCATTTAATCTCTGAGTCTGGGCTAGATCTCTCTTAGGATGGTTGAATTTGAGCAAAAGTTGGAATTCTAATAGAAGAGACTTTACTTTTGGACGGAAGCCTGTTGTAAACCAAACCAGAGACAAAAATGGTTTGAGCTCTGAAGGACAAAAATTTCACATTTCAGTTCCCTTTCTATATCAAGAAAAAGTGGAAATAACTAAGTACCTGTGGTGGTGGTGGTAGTGCACTCTTGGCAATTTTAAATTAGGCAAAATTTAGGTTAAATACTGACTTCTTGCTGCAGTCAGTACAGCGGGTTCCTGTTGATAGTGTAAGCTATAAACCTTGTCTGTGTCTGCTTTGTGGCAAACTGAAGAAAAATTGTGCCAAATTTACTGTCTTCTGCAACCAATGGAGTTCTGCTTGATCTTAAATGGAAACTGAGAGAAAATTTTTTAAAATCAACCGAACTTGAAAATGGGTTCTAGTGTATACAAGATGAGTATTTTGATATTGAGGTCACTATCGGGTGGTTAGTCCCTGTCTGTGACTCTGACAATAACAATTGTATTGTTCAAAGATTGTAACTGGCTCAGAGGATCGTGTCTGCTGAGTACTGCATGAGTGGGAGTGAGGCAGGATTTGGGGTGGGCATGCCATTTGTCTTGATGTTTGGTAATTAAATAGTATGCTGTTTTTAAACTTCAGACTAATAGCCCATTTTGTGATATAAGTTTCAATGCTACTATTTTAGGCTGTGAAAACACATGTACTTGGTTTGCATTTTCAAGCTTTATATTGCAAATATAAAGCACAGAACTATGTTTTGAAATCTATCTTTGTAAAGTACTTATTGTGAGAAGGACTAGATTTTCTGGCTGCAGTAACACAAGATGGCTATGAAGATCTGAGTTTATAAATAGGAGATGTGATGTGTTAGAATAGTGGTGAGTGACCTTTGGTGACAGTTGGATGCTTTTTTTGTTGCTGTTAAAGTTCATTTTGTTGAAATATTGGCATGGTAAAAAAGCTAAAAATAAAATTCTGACTTAGTAGTTCAGTCTTTCTAAGTACAGTATCTATAATGGTTATGCTGGAAGTTGAACTTTCAGAACTAATAGTTGAAACTTCTATCCAAGAGATTTATCCTTCAGTGGAGGTAAAAGCAGCTTGGACCTTCAACTGACTTCTGTGGTTGTTAAGTGTTCAGTACTACAGAAAAGCGCCTCAGGCTTTTAGGGCTCATTGTACACTTTTGAACTTCTTTCTTCAGAAACCTAGTCTTGCTTTAAAGAAGTGTCAAAGTTGCAAGGAGTATAAAATATACAGTTTTACAGAAACTAGCAGTAAATATTACATTACCCTGTGCTAGAATCAGAGGATGAGTGCTAATTATTGTGATAGCTATTAGTCCAAAAGGCCTTAACCAAGACAGACTTTTTCCAGAACACTTCTGATACTAGAAGATGCTGCTTCTATGTTAAAAGTGTGAGTTGTTGAGTGGAATTATCAAAACTGTTGGATTCTAGACTTAAGTATTAAAAACCACCTAAGTGTTCACTTTTAAAGAATGTTTCTACGTTAGGAAGACATCAGATACATTGCTAAGGCAAATTCCTTTCAAAACCCCCAAATTATATTTAAAGACTGTTTTTTCTGTGGCTATTTGGGGTTTTGTGTCCTACTTGAAGAGTTTTAACACCATTGAATAACTGTGTGCAGTTTTGGTACTAGAGTATCAACTTGATCAGCTAAAAGTAAGTTTTAAATTACTTTTCAGAATGTAGCTATTGGGTAGGAAAGATACTTGCAAAAAGCTTGATTTAAAAAAAAAATTTTTTTTTCCTTTTTCCTACATCTTCTGACTGAAGGCTTTAATTAAGGCCTTTCAGGTCTGCTCTAATTTGGTCCCTCTCCAGAATTGTCTGGGAAAAAAAAGAAATTATTTAATCTTGAAGTTCCTGGTGTTTGTAAGTGTAAGCTAGTTTAAGATGCTATCGTGTAACAGGAAAGAAAGGAATTAGGCTCATTTTCCTTCTTTTGGGCAGAATTACTTTGAGTTTTTCTTTATTTAAAATGGATTTTGAAGTTGTGCTTGTCAAAACAGTGTGTATTTTTTGCATGTTGGTGCCTCTGATGTGTAACCTTAATTTTATCTGAGTGTCTGTCTACTGCATTAGATTTAAACTAATAATGGTCAATATTGATGGCATATGACATTGCAAGCCATAACTTGTAGAAAACATATAGTTTTGGACCCTGCATGTTAACTGTTTGTAGTTGTTAGATTGACGCATGCTGGCCACCATAGCAGGGTCTGACTGTAAGATCCTGCTGATGAAAATGCAGAGTCTGAGCGAAGGCTTCCCATTAGTCTTTTAGTAGTTCTCTGGTTACAGTTTGAACTGGATGCCTCCAGAGACAGACCCTCAACCCAGTTCACTCCTCTTGATTATACTCACACCACCCATCACCTGATCTCCAAGTCCAATCACTTAATTCTGGTCTGTGGTCTCTTGATTTCTTACTGGGTTTTCACTGTTGCTGAGCTGGCCTTCTTCTGAAGTTACTTCATTCTCTTGATACTGTCATCTTGGTCCTTCTTCATCCCACTCCTATCTGCCAGATCCAGCTAGTTCTTTGTCAGCAGCATTAGTTTTATCAAAAAGTTTACTTGGCCAGTTTTTGCAGCCTAAGGCTTCAACTGCTTTAGCTGCTAATAATAAGCCACTAATGCTAAACGAGACTATTCAGGAAGACAAGAATGCAGATAATAAATTTCTTCTATAACAGTGGTCTCATTCATAGTATTACTTGTTTTTATTTAATATTCTTCTTATCTCCTTTATAGGCTGTAAATGATTCCTGCTACCAAAACGATGATTCTGTCCTGAAATCCCTTGTAGAAATTGCAGATTCTGTTCCCAAGTATTTACGACCACATTTGGAACCTACGTTGCAGCTAAGTCTGAAGGTAAAGCTAGGAATTGTTAAGAAAAAAAAAAATCAATTTCTGCCCCCAAATTGCTGTTCTAACTGTTTACTCTAATCTGGATTGTAGTTGTGTGCAGATGCCAGTCTCAGTAATATGCAGCGTCAGTTGGCACTTGAAGTAATTGTGACCTTGTCAGAAACTGCAGCTGCTATGCTGAGGAGGCATACAAACATTGTTGCACAAGCCAGTAAGTATTTCACTAATTTTCTTTGTTGAAACAATTTGTCTTCCTTTACAGTGTTAAACTGACTTTGCAGGTGGTCAGTGGCAACACTGTGTCTAACTCAGAGTTTGATAACTTTAGGTGACACTGAATTGAGGTTTTTTATGGAGAAAACCCTTTCTTATTATGACTTTTCATAAATTAATCTGTGCTTATGCAGATATTTTATTCACACCAACAATGTGAATAAAAATACAATAGACTCTTCATTAGGTGCTTCCAAGGAAAATACTCCTTTCATGCTTTTCTGCTGGCTTTGGAAGTTTGTACTGTAAAAAAAAATAAAATAAAAATGATGCATTTAGTTCTGAAGTTCTACGTTTGAAGTTTGGTATGTAGGCCAGATATTCTGTGGTGCTGGCAACTGAAGACTGCAGGAATTCAGCATGCATGTTGAGCTTTGGTGTTGGGTTAAAGCTGTGAATTAAAAATCAGATGCTTATATAAATACTTAGAGAGAGTCTAATTAGTCTGTTTAACATGTGGATTGTAAATTCTTTGGAGAGGCACTTTTTTAATCATGCATTATTATGAGATCCTAAAATTAACTGTCTTCTGGACAGCCCCAGCAGTAATACTGTATGCACTGCTATTTCTCTGCCTTTTAAACCCTTTTTGTGACTAGATCAGGGCACTGAGACAGTGGTGTAGCCCTCTTTTTGGAAGGATTCTTTTCCCAACTTGTTACATTTGTATGTGTCTAGATTCTTGCTTGTTTTCTGAAACTTACATAAAGGCAATCTTTTTACTTCTGTGCTTAGCTGGAGAAAGTTGTGTATATGCATGTCACTAAGTTAATCATAAAACTTCTGGAAAATGTGCACTGGATCTGCTTGGCTTCAGTGTTTATTGACTAGAGTAGAATATTTGCTTACTTGTAGAACAGGTTTTTTTAAAGAACAGATTCTTTTAGAATATATTTTGAAATTTGAAAATATTTAGAATGCTGCATTTTCACTTTATCCTGTAGGTTGTTGGGAATATTAACACTTGCCACTTGCTGTCCCCCAAATCATTACAGGCTTCTTATCTGGTCAGGCAGCATAGTGGAGAAGTACCTTCTAACTTTTTAGAATGTATTACTTTTATATTGGGTTGCTAGCTGTTGTTCAGGAATGAAATATTTGTATTAAGATATTGCATTAAGATAAGGCACCATGAAGGAATGAAATGCCTTTGGTTTGCAACCTGTTGTAAAATTGCTCTTAATGAATCACTAAGGTGAAAGACATTTATTTTGCAGCCCTAGTAAAGCAGTTATGTTCAGAGAATGCTAAAAAAGTAGCCGCAAAGGATTGCTTTTGTCTTGCTTTTGTGCCTTAGTTTAAAAGGCTTTCTGTTTTCACTAAGAAGTTGCTAAATCACTTGATCCTCCCAACTAGAACTGGGTCTTAGGCAAAACTGTCATCTTATGCTGGTTTTACTGTACATGATACTGATTTAGGAGTGAATCTGTGTTCTGTGTACCAGTTATCTGCTTAGGAATTCCATTTGGGTTCTGACTTCCCTCCTTGAGCTTAGAATTCAAGATAGCAGAGTGGTTTATTGCTTTTTCCCTATAAATTGGAGCTGCAGCCTATCTTTGGCTGTAGTTTTGTTCAGTCTCCAGAAAATGGAGTCATAGCTTGTTCTGACAAGCAGGCTTAGTGGGGTCATCCTTAACTGTTTGTAAACAGTCTATATATTGGCAATAATTAAATTTTGAGGGTTTGTTGGGACAATGTTGAAGCTTTAATGTGCAACTCTACATTTAAAAAAAATTCTCAGTGAAACTATACTTCCTGGCAACCACATTCATATTAAACCTAAGAGGAAACAGCATGTTTACAAGCTTTTGCAGGTTCTAGATATAATGATGGCCAGACAGCTTTGGATGACAGTTGGTTCTCAGCCTTGCTTCTTAGTAGCAACAAATGCTGTGACATCAGTTTTTGGACCTGCCTAGCATTTGTAGCAGATAATGGTTGACTTCCCTGGTTCAGAGATGAGATGATACATTGTTTTCATGTCTGTGCTTACTAGTCTCTGTGTCTGAAAAGCTTCTGGGCTTATAATACTTTTTTTGGAGGAAATTCTTTTCAGTGACTAGTAAGTATATAGAATTCTAACATGTGGGCACCATGCTAGAGTGTTCATAGTGTCCATTAAGTTTTCTTGATATGTTTATAAAAGCTCTCTGAAGGTTTTTGCAGCCATGGTATAATCTCTGGCTGAAGATATGTAGCCATGTCAAGCAAATCAATCCATAATTTGATCTTTTCTTGATACTTGCCCCACAATGCTGTCAGTGAGCAATATTTTTCTTCCGTCATCAGTTGACCAGAAGTTTCTCATCTGTCCAGATGTATGGTGAGGTGAGTTTGCTTAGGGTTGTGCCTCTGTTGTAGATTTGCAGTAGTGTAAGTAAATTACAAAATTCACCAGTTGCAGTAAGTCTCAGCAGCAGCATGGGCTACTGAATGCCTACTAGGTTTTGAGGTCGGTTGCTGTAAAGGTCAGTTAATGATGATGCCTGTCTTCAAGATATGTGGTAGACTGTCCTAAAAAGATTCTTAAACCTCAAAGGTTGAGTATTTGACCAAAAACTTCTGTTTCCAAGGCAAAGTAAAGCTTTTCTGCATAAATTGTTGTGAATTCAAACAACTGCTCTGAGTGGTTAGTGTACTACAAGGTAAAGAATACTTTAGAGCACCTTATTTTGCTCTGAATGTGCAAGGTATACTTTTCACCCCTTGAGCTTCTGAAGTGCACAGGAACAGGCAGGCTCACAATAGACAAATCCGTGCACTCATTCCTCCGGTGAGAACACCTCAGAAGAATAGGTGTTGCTTATTACATAGTAGTTGTGCATTATGATATAAAGCATGTGTAATAATAGCCTCTGTAAAGAGTTACACTGAGAAGAGCAGACAGAATCAATCTATGGAGGTAGAAGTAGAAAACTGGTGATTATTATGTACAAGATATTTTCATGATACAAGCCAAAAATTTACATTAAATGGGGAGAAGTTTCAAGTTCTAAATCATTACCTTACTGTAAATCTTTATGCTGTGACCACTGTACATATAGTTAACAAAAGTTACCACAGTAGTAAAACCAAGGGTTGAGTGTTGTTTTTCCATAATTAATATTGTCTCTTTCATCAGTAAATTTTCAAAGGATGATGTCAGAGTTCTTAAAGCATGTATACTATTTTTAATACTTTCAAGGAATTTTATTAAGGAATTTACTTTTTACAATCTCCATAATTTTAAAAAACCTTGCATTGTGTTATTAGTCCTGGTAAGAAATACACTCAACTTCTTTTTACTTTCAATTTGAATATTCTGAAAATACTTTCCTGAAAATCTGTTGTGAATTATTGGCCGATGCAGTTTGACAGACTTGGCTATGTGCTATTGGAAGAAGAGTCATTTTTCTTTGGTGACTTTTTTGAAAGGAGAGAACTTAAAATTTTTACTTGTTATTTGAGGATCTATTTTAAGAAAGCCACCTGAGTTTAAAACTTATTTTTCAGTTCCTCAAATGTTAGCAATGATGGTTGACTTGGAAGAAGATGAAGACTGGGCAAATGCAGATGAGCTTGAAGATGATGATTTTGACAGGTAATTTTGAAACTTGTTGTTTCAATATATTATCAAGACTGTGTGGCTAAAGGCAGATTTTAAGTGTAGGATGCAAGTGACTGCAGTGCATTACTTCTTCTTTATGCAAGTAACCTTTCTAATTTTGTTCCCTTGGTCATGAGCGGTATATATGACTCTTCTCTGTTCATATGTAGGTTATTTAGGTACTGTTCAGCAAGTAAGTAAATTCTTTCACTATTTGTGTACTGCTGTAATTTACTTCTACAAGTTGCATGTCCTTTTGTCTTCTCTTTTGCACTGTTTTAGCTTTCCAAACTTTTTCCTTCCGTCATTTATGTTACTTGGTTCAGAAGTCAGTGCTTTGTAACCTTTTGAACTGAGGACTTATCCTGTAGTTAGTTGGAGCCAAAGCTGAAGGATGCTGACCTGTTCAATCATCTACAACCAATCTCTTCATATTTTTCTGTATCTGTGCCCCTGAAAAGGTGGTGTTAAAGAAGAAAAGCTGCCTACATTCTGAAAGGACATCAGAATGCATAGTGGAATTCCCTGCTGGATTTCATCTTGCTAAAATTACTATGATTTTGCTTTTATTTTAAATCTCTTGGTATGGCTAGTAGTAGCTTATTTTGTTGTGTCTTGGGCAAGAAAGATCTAATAAAGATGTCCAGTCTTTCTGTTTTGCTTATTCCTGTGTGGTTTGTAGCTTGCTCCAAATTTTCACTAAAATGACAGTGGTTTGTCTACAGTATCTTGTTACATCTGCTCTTGTCCAAATATAGTTAGAATGGAGTAGAAGAAAGCAGAGATATATGTAGGAGATAAATATCTTCAGAATTCTGTGAAGACACAGGTGTTCATTTACTAGTCTAGACGCTTTTGCCACATCTGACATCTTCTTCAAGACTCAGATTTAATTAGGGTTTCGAAACAATTTGTCACAGAACACTTTGAAATCTTCACAGGAAGGTAGGCAAGAGAAGAGATGTTTGTTTACTATTGAACTGTATAGCAACTTCTACTAGATAGATGTGTAGGAATTTATGGAAGAACCTGTTTAATATCTGCTTGACTTAGAATACTTTTTTATGTTTCCCTTGATTATGGAATTGAAAGTAAGCTATCCTTTCTTCCTCTTCTCACATGGTAGACCGGACCCTTTTAACTTGCTTTGTTTCATCAACTTTGAAATTTTGCCATACAGGTAGAACTGTCAAACACCACTGCACTCAGATTTGTCAAGTATTTGAATCTTTTCATTCAGCTAAATTTCAAGGGGAAATAGAGTATTAAAGTTCAAATTCTCATCAAGCCTTTCAGGGTGTGGAAGTTTTTTCAGATGGCCTGCTTTAGACAGCTTTACTAAGTATGCTGAATCATCCACTTAAGGCATGCCAATTTCTCTTTATTTTCAGCAGAGTAACTTTGTTCTTCTAAAAACAAGTTAGTTGCCTATGGATTTTAGAGTGAAATTTTTCCCTTTTTTTGTTACAAGTCACAAGTAGAGTGAGCAAAGATCAGAAAACAAATCATGCTCGGCAACCTAAGCCTAAAGGGGAGATGTAGCTCATTTGGTCCTCAAAGTAATAGGAGAGCTTGAGGATTAGACACAAAATACTGGACATCAGCTAGTCTCTTGTGACTGTGCGTGGTGTTATAGTTTTTTCTTTTAGCAGGTTCACTCATGTTATGTGTTTCCCACCACTGATGTTCACCTTTGTGGAGAGTTGTTCAGCTGATGTGCATCCTAATCTCTTTTGGTGCCTGAGTCTTTGTGGCTTCATACTGGAATTCTGTGCAGTCCAAGAAACGGGCTAATGATCATCAGGCTGTAACCTAGTTAGGGTGTGTTCAGATCTGACTAAGGGGGATGTGAGTCAGCCTATGCAAAAGCAGCGGGAAATATTTTAGCATTTCCAGTTTTTTGTTGCTCTGACTTCATAGAGCACAAATTCTAAAGGAGGAAAAGGTCAATCCAACTTCCTCTTTTCCTGGCAAAAGCCTTGCGAACATTGCAGGAAGGTGTGTGGTCATTTTTCTAAGTTAAACTATCTTTATTTCCTCAAACTAAAGGTATGAATTAATGGTGGGAGGAAATAACTCAAAGAGCATAACTTGAGACAAAAACTGCCATTAACTTTAGTGAGTTTGCTCCCATCTAAACCTATGCACCCATGCTCTGTTGTCCTGCTGGTGATGTGTCTGTTTATTTAAACATGACTAATCTGAAGAACAAATACAATGCTGTCAATATATTTGTGCAAACACCTTTGTTCATAGCATGTGAGTTTCTAGATAGTTTATAATGAAAATTGGGGATTCAAGCATAATAGTTCAAGACCTCTATTTCTGACCCAGCTGACTGCTGCTTCAAAGAAAAGGGAGGTTCATCCCTTTCTGAACCATTATTCAGCTTTTCCATCAGCCTGGGTGTCTAGGATGGACTGTAATAATGTTGAGTTATTACAGTGCAAGCCGTACCCAGACTGTAACAGTAGTTATCTGTGTCCTGGGAAGTTTTTTGCTTTTGTGTAGGGAATAATTCTATTGGGTGGAACAAATCACTTTACACAGATAATGTTTGGCTGTTCTGAGTTCTGGAACTGGCTGAGAGTCACAGATTCCTCACCTGGGCAGAATATTTTCTGCCTGCGTCATTGTCAAGAGAACATGCTACTAGACTACTGGTACTGCAACCATGCAAGAAGGGGCTCTTGGGTACCAAAGCTTGAATTCGGCTGGTTCACCTGATTCATAGCAAGTCTGAACTGGTTTGTGTTCTCATGACAGGATGATAGCCAGTGTTACTGCGTAATTCATTGCAAATTTAGTTTCAGCTTTCTAGGTATGTGTAATTGTTGTGAAATTGTTTATACCTTCTGTGCTAGTAGGGCCCAAGTTTCTTTGGTAATAACTTAATCAGTGGGCTACAGATAATAAATGTTTAGGTGGAGGGTAAATAATTACTTTGTGGTTGGTGTGTGTGTGCTTTTAGGTTTGGGTATGCTTTAATTACTTATGGAGGCTCATGTGTATTCAGATGGCAGAAGTTTGGAGACTAGAACTGCAGGAAAGGGCACTTCCGTGCCCTGTTGGACTGTTTGTTTTATTGTAGAGATCAAACTACTGATATTTCTGTAACTGATGTTTAGCAATGCAGTTGCTGGTGAGAGTGCACTGGACAGGATGGCATGTGGCCTTGGAGGAAAACTTGTTTTACCTATGATTAAAGAACATATTATGCAAATGCTTCAGAATCGTAAGTAACTGCATTTTCTTTTCTTTTACAATTCTATCCTTTCTGGGAACTTTACCTCTTAAATCTTTGTGTTTAGCTACTTGATATATTTTTATACGCTTCCACTTTTGATTTCAGCAGCAAAAACTGTAAATGCTGTGAACTTGGAAGTTTATACCTTTCTTGGATTGTGATTTATTAAACTTATATACAGTGCATTACAACATTTTTCTGGAACATGGACAGCTAAACAGAGGTGTCAAAAACAAAACTACATTTTATTTTTAAACTCACTTTGAATTAAATATAAATAAGGGAAGACTCTTTACTTTAGAATATTCGTTTTAAATCCCTACAGAGTGCCTCACAGTACCTCAAATATGCCTAAACTGCCACCTTTTATTCTGTAGCTCAATTTTTTTTCTGCTTCAGAAGTGCTGCATTTAAGTGAAATTTTAACACGTTACAGTTCATAGAGGAAAACTTATCTTTCTTTTTTTTCCCTGTCTGTGGTAGGCTGGCTGGTTTTTGATATGGTGATTTTAATACTTGTTCCTGAGGTGGTTCCATATTTCTCATCAGTTGCTTTGTGTGCTGCTTTTCCTCTTAAAATACCTGTAATGCTTGCTCAGGCAGTCATTCAAAAAAATACTGTGCATTTGTTACATGCACTTCCACTTGACCTGTGTTTTGAACTTTTGAAATCGAAGATAATGCAAAATTCTGGGTATTTTTCCTACCTTCATGATTTAAAACCAAGTCCAAAAAAGACTGTTACCATATTGGATACGGAACATACAGCTACTCAAGGTACCACCTGTAGAGTGTGAACACTTATAAAGACAGTTTGGAATTAAAGTTTTTCCATAAAGGAAGTTTTATTAAGGAAATGGATTAACCTGACTCTTCCAGTATTAATAGCTTCAAAGCTAGCAAACGCCTAATTTTGTAGTACCCACAGAAAGGTGTAGTCTCATGGCTGTAAGACCTGACTCCTGTGAAGGGGAGAAGTCATGCCGTTGATGGATGCTGCTTGCTTTCTGCTGGGTCAGAGCTTTCCATAACAATTAGTACTCTTTGGAAAAGGGAAATGCAGTTAGATATTGTTTGGTTCAGAGGCTTTCACTGGTAGGGAGTTGGGAGGAAAGATGAAGTTATTTAAATTAAAACATCATCAGTAGTCTCAGAAATCAAATTTTCCCTTCTCCCCACTGCTGTTCTCACAAATGTTTATTGAAATAATAATTTAAAACTTCTGGATTTGGATTGGGTAGCCAGATGGTGCAAACATGATTGTGTTTCATTTTGTAGTATCATTAATTTTAAGTCTGGAATGCATGCTAATAGTAATACAGTGAGAATAACAAGAGGTGCAGGCTTAACTAGGAACATCCAATGAATAGTGCAAAATAAACTGCTTCTTCACTGTAGCTTCTGTCAAGTTGATATTCATCTCATTCTGATCAAACAGAAGCTTGAGTGTCAGGATTCCAGTGCTCTGAACTGCAGTGTTCTTCATTCCAGGAATTTAATACATTACCAGCAGTAATGAAATCTTGCAGTATTTTGGGAAAGAAGTTCTGTTGCATGTCTTTCCCACAGGTCGTTTGATAAAGCTGTGCTCTTTTTCTTTTCTGTAATCCCATGGTTTCTAGCACAGAGAAAGATTTTGTAAAACAAAAAAATAAAGAAATTGAAGTTTCTCATGTTTCCCTTGCCTAAAGAAAAAGGAGAGGGACATGAAAGATCCATTTCAACAATACCCACTAGCCTGAGAATAGGCTAACAGGACTTAGAGGCAGAAGAGAAAGCCTTACATCCCTAAATGTAATGTTACTGCTCTTAAACAGTCTTGGGGAGATCACTGAAAAGTTTAGTACTAATTATTTCTTTGTTTTAAACCTTGATATTGTTTGAGTCACTAGACCTTTTTCCCCTCTTGACCTAAAGAGGAAGGTATAGACTTTCTGATACTATTAAAAAAAAAAAAAAAAAAAAAAAAAGATGGAGGAGAGGGGAAAAAAGAAGCACTGTCCTGATGTTTCCCTGGTTAGCTCATTTAATTAAAATGCTGTTCCCAGGTTTTAGTACTATGTATATCCTTGTATCAGCAGTTAAGAATTCTTTTTTCTAGGTCTGGATTTCGCCTGGATTAGATAGTCAAATTTTCGTGCATCTCTGGATGTATGAGGAAAAGTGAAAAGTATTTAACAAATCAAGTAGATGCATCAGTTTCCCTTCCATCTCCTATTTTCTACTCCTTTTCCTCCTGTAGCTCCAAGAAAGGTGACTTGTCTTTGTTGTGCTTTTTAGTTTCCACAATAACATATTTATTTTTATTTTTCTCTTCTGTAGCTGACTGGAAATATAGGCATGCTGGCTTGATGGCTCTCTCAGCCATTGGAGAAGGTTGTCACCAACAGATGGAGGGAATTTTAAATGAGATAGTTAATTTTGTTTTGCTATTCCTTCAGGATCCTGTGAGTATAATTCTGTTAATTATTTCAAAATGTTTTAATTTCTGCTCTCATGACTATTGTTAACTATTTGAGGGAAATACTTTTTCAGCATCCAAGGGTAAGATACGCCGCTTGTAATGCTATTGGACAAATGGCAACTGACTTCGCACCTGGTTTTCAAAAGAAATTTCATGAGAAGGCAAGTAGTAGAATAGTGTAAAAAAAAAAAAAAAAAAAAAAAATTGTGGTAAAACTATGTCCTCTTCAGAAACTGGTTCTTCTGAAAATAAACATTTCTTTTTCAGGTAATAGCAGCTCTTCTGCAAACCATGGAGGATCAAGGCAACCAGCGTGTTCAAGCCCATGCAGCTGCAGCACTCATAAACTTCACTGAAGATTGTCCCAAGTCACTGCTTATTCCATATTTGGATAATCTAGTGAAGCATCTTCATTCCACTATGGTGATAAAATTGCAAGAGGTATAATATACCAAACAAATTATTTCATGATGGGTAACCTTGTAACACATGCAGAATTAAGTATAGCTGAACCAAGACCTCTGAATAAGCCAGTATATATATCTGCTGATGTGGGTCTAAACTTATAAGAATTAGGATACATACAAGAGCAGATTTTTACATTTGGCTTGCTTTTAAGTAAAGTATGTGCTTTAGAAATATAACACTTTATTCTTCCTCTTTCCAAGTTGATACAGAAAGGCACTAAGCTAGTTTTGGAGCAAGTTGTGACTTCAATTGCATCAGTTGCAGATACAGCAGAGGAGAAGTTTGTTCCCTACTATGATTTATTTATGCCCTCTTTAAAACACATTGTTGAGAATGCTGTTCAGAAGGAATTAAGACTTTTACGAGGAAAGACTATTGAATGCATCAGCCTAATTGGTCTTGCTGTTGGTAAAGAAAAGGTAAGCTTAGGTCTTATCTAATGGTCTAAATATATTTTAACATGCCTTTGTTTTTTGTAGTGTTAACACAGTTAATATATTTACTTGTTAAACATAGAGCCTTATTGCTGACTTCTGTTTGTCTTCCTGTTTTCATTTCTGAGGTGACTGTCTTGCTGTTTAGATTCATAAATTCACAATAGAATCTTACGAAACTATTACAGCTTAAGTTATTCTTGTCACACTGAACAATGTTGAAATCAAACATTTTTTTCTTCATTTGGGTTTTTTTGCCTTAAGAGAAATCTTGGAGCATCTCATTTAGGCAGTGTCAGAATGGTGGGAAAATGGTTCAAATGAAACAGCACAGTTTTAGTATGCAGATGCCTGAAAAGGTTTAAATGTGCTTGTATAGATCTTAAGTACTTGTTCATCATGATGATGTATTTGATGTATTGATGTATTTGACAGGGGTTGTTTTTTTGATAAGTTGGTTAAAACGTCGTTAAAAGCATGGAGAAACAATTGTGAAGGATGATGTAAGAGTCTAAGTGTTCTGATAGCCAGTTCGCATTGCATTTTACAGATTTTAATTTTGAGTAAACAAAACAGAAAAATCTCACTTCAAAGTAAAATAATGTGATTTAACCAGTATGAAAATACTAATAGTCCCCCTCAAAATTACCAGCCCTTTCCTTTGACTTGGAAGGACTACCAGTAGTAGACTTAACATTCATGCAACCAAATTTTAAACGCATTTTAAACATAACTAATGCTTAATAAATCATTCTTGGAGGACTACTGGGAACATGATCAGTGAAAAGAAAGTAAGTATAACATCACAGGGACATCTGATATGACCTAAAATGTTACTAGATCATGACTTAGTGGCTTTTGCTGTCAGCTTTTATCCTAGTTCCAGAAGGGAGTCAAAATTGTAAGGAGGTATCTGGGAAAGTTAGAATTGTCAGTGAGTCAGAATTGTGAGTATTAGTATTTACTTATGTAGTGTTTTATTTAAATAGTCCTCTACTTTTAAGTATGTGAACAGAGGTACAGTGAAGCTTAAAACAAAAATGACTTGATGTTTCCAGAAGAACAATTTGCGTTTTCACTTCTATCCTAATTTCAGTCTGTTTCCAGCTTTAGCTTATGTCTTGATAATACATTGGACTCAACACCAAACAGTTTAAGTGAGCATTTAAATCTCTGAAAAGTACCCTTGCGTTTAAAAACATAGTTGTTTCCTATATCTAGTTTATGCAGGATGCATCAGATGTAATGCAGCTGTTGTTGAAGACACAAACAGACTTCAGTGATCTAGAAGATGATGATCCACAGGTATGTTAAAATTGTGCATAGCTCATTGGTTAGTGTTAAACGTGTTCTTTGTACATGTAACCTTTCTGTGCCCCCACTCCATGTAATTACACCTTCAGATTAATTGTTCAGCATGTCTTACAAATGTTGAGATTGATTGCCCTAAGATGGCCTTAGAATGTTCCACAGAAGTATGATTAGTAAATTAGACTTTCAGGACCTATATTTGCTGAAGAAATGTCAGTGTGTGGGTAATCGTTCCTTGTCTATTAGTAACTACTTTGTTTGGCATTGTATGACCTATTCACTTGCTGTCACCTTCTTATAAATAGTTCAACAAGACTTGTTAGACAGCTGTTCTAATGAGTGGAGAGCTATTTTGACTTGTGTAGCTGAAAACAAATACTCCTCTGAAAACAGTGTACTGCACTTTTTTTTTTTGCTCTGTTTGCTGTTTTCAGGAACGTGGGTCAATAGTATAATTTAAATTCAGGAAATTATTCATTTCAGAAAGGAATTTACTTTTCAATACAGTTGTGATTGCATTATAAGTACATTTTACACTGTCACATTTTTACATGTATAGCAACTTTGATCAGAGGTAGTGTCAATACTTTGTTCCAAATAAAGACTTGGGACAGATCTTTTGAAGATGCATTTTTATATGGAATGCATGTTGGATGAGTTCTGCTCTTTGAAATAAGTTTTATGCACTGCTGACAAATTCTTTTAAAAAGTCCTATTGTGTAACATTCTTCCTTTATGTTTTTCTTTTAAGTAAGCATTAAAATAAAATGTGGGACATGAAAATTCTGACTCTGTTCTCTTTTGTAGATTTCTTACATGATCTCAGCATGGGCCAGAATGTGTAAAATTCTTGGAAAGGAATTTCAGCAGTACCTTCCTGTTGTCATGGGACCTCTAATGAAGACTGCATCCATTAAACCTGAAGTAGCTCTTTTAGACAGTAGGTTTAAGATGTTTTGCTTGGAAGAGTACTGGAATAAATGATTTTGTAGCACTTTCAGATTACTTTTTTTCCCTCCCCTCTGTATAACAGCACAAGATATGGAGAATATGAGTGATGATGATGGTTGGGAATTTGTAAATCTAGGAGATCAGCAAAGTTTTGGAATTAAAACTGCAGGCCTTGAAGAAAAAGCAACGGCATGCCAGATGCTGGTGAGTAATAGGAGAGTTTTGGTGATCTGTGTATTGCTGGACAATCATCTGAAGCCAAAATCTGTAACAAAAATATTCTTTATAGTATCAAATGAAATAGTTCTGGTTTTCGTAGGATGATAGTGTTAAGTTTGGATTTCAGATGCTTCATTGCATGTGGCTTCTTGATTAAAAAACAGTTTCTTCAGTTTGAAGCTTCAATGTTTAAGATGAACAGATAGTTTTCCTTTGCTAGCAAAACTTTTAAGGAATTTTTGATGTTAGAGTAGTTCCTTTTTGCAAATATTGATGTTTCTGAATTTGGTTTGAAAAATACATGCATGTACTAAGAGTAAGAGCTCATGCTATCAGAGTTTCTTAAAATACTATAATGGAGTAAGTATGTAAATAGATTATTGCGTGTTTTGTAAAATAAACTTTAAAACTTTAAACTTTTAACAGTCTTTCTCATCACTACATGAAAAATATTAGTAACAGTATTTTCCCTTAAAGGTGGTATTTCCATGCTTTGTGTTTCAGGTTTGCTATGCAAAAGAGCTAAAAGAAGGTTTCGTGGAGTACACAGAGCAAGTTGTAAAGCTGATGGTTCCCTTGTTGAAGTTCTATTTCCATGATGATATCCTATTAACGAATTCTACTGTGAAAATGGAAACTTAGTTTGGAAGAATCAGAGTTGTGCTTACTGTTTTCCTAAATGAATTGAAAGTGTTAGTGTTAAAATATTCTGTTGCTTTATAGTAGAAATTGTTTCTGAGAACGTTGTTTCACACACTATTTTAGGCAATGTATCCTACTTTTTCTCCTAGTTTCTTTTTAAATAAGCATGTCTATAATGTTAAAAGCAAACAGAAGAGAAAGTGATGTTTGTGACAGCAAAGTGAAGGAGAACTTGTGTAGCTGTTCTGTCATGGCCTGAAACAGGCTTGAAACAACTTTTAAATAGCAAACAGTTTAATTTTCCTATGATCTTAATCTGTATCTAATTAAGAAATCAAATGCACTGAACTGTAATTAAAAAAATGTAGATTTCAGGGAGACAACTAGTAACTTCATTATGGTGGTAGGTGCTCTAAATTGTAAGCACTTTATGTTGGCCTCTTATTTCCTTAATAATGAAACGTGTTCGAGTGGCAGCAGCAGAGTCAATGCCCCTCCTTCTTGAATGTGCTAGAGTTCGTGGGCCAGAGTACCTCACACAGATGTGGCATTTCATGTGTGATGCCCTCATCAAAGCCATTGGGACAGAACCAGATTCAGATGTTCTTTCAGAAATAATGCATTCTTTTGCAAAGGTAACTTTCTTCCTTACAAATCTTGTGGCATTGCTGTTTGGAGCTTTTTATGGTAGGAAAGGATGTGTGTTTGATGTTTATTTAAATGGCTGGAAGAAATGCAAGGCTTCCTGAATTTTGGCTTGACTAAATGTTGTTAGAGCTGATTGAAAAACTTACATTTACTTTTTTGCAAGAACCAAAATACCAAAGTATTAACCTAAAATAATTGCCAGATTTGTTCATTTTAACTGCAAACCACCAAAGCTATGTGCATGAAATATACAGTGGTGCTATGCCACTTGCGTAATTTGAGCATTGATTACATTATGAATGTTCTACTAGTATTACTTCTGCTAGTGATCATTTAAAGCAGAGCATATATTAATATTCTCTGTGTGCTTAGATTTCATTGAGACTGCTCATGTAACTTAAAGCTGAAAAACTGATCATTTTGTTTCACTAGTGCATTGAGGTAATGGGAGACGGATGCCTTAACAATGAACACTTTGAAGAACTTGGAGGAATATTGAAAGGAAAACTAGAAGAGCACTTTAAAAATCAAGAATTAAGACAGGGTAAGTTAACGCAAATTCCTGTTAACATATGATAATGGCTGTTCTTTAAAGCAGAATTCCTAATAATTTCTGAAGACACAAAAAAAGTTTAGTTTGGATTTCTTTGATTTACATATTTGTATAAGGTAACTGGGATTTGAAACAACAGAATCCATGAGTTATATTTGTAAACTTTTGGAGGATTAAGATGGCATCACTTGCAGAAAGACTGTCGTTTAATCAAAGTTGATGGACAGATTTACTTGACAGTGCACATGTCTGTGCTGTCGTCATTTCTGTGGGTTTTTTTTAATCTGAAGTCTTTACAGTTTTCTTAAAGCAATAGTAGCTTCTTATTTCTGTGCACTTTTGTCCTCATGCGCAAGCTGGTGCGTTTATTTCTATTTCATGCACTTTTACACGTTCTTAAATTGAGCTGTCTCATTATACTACTTGTTTTTCTGTGAAAGCTCTTTGAAGCTTCTTAAAGACAAAAAATTCCTGTTGCCTCTTAAGCTGCTATTTCCTATTTTCTAAATTTGTTTCTGCATGATTTTTTTTCGTTTCACAGGGAAAATACACTTGTAGAAATGTAATGGTTTAATATTTATTTTTTAATTTAGTGAAAAGACAAGATGAAGACTATGATGAACAAGTTGAAGAGTCATTACAAGATGAAGTAAGTTGATTTGGGGAATTTTTCCACTCATAAAGCACCAGGATGGAAATATATTACGCAGATATGCTATGCTACTCAATTAAAGCATAGTGCATCCTCAGAATGATTTCTTCCTGGAAGAATGTTCTGTTAACATATTCCTTCAAAACTTCCACTAAGAAATGGGTCACACCTACATGTGTGAATTAGGAAAATACAAAAGGTTTTCTTGTCCAGTATACTGAAGGAGTAAGTTCTGGTTATAGCTCTTCATTTTCTTCATCCTCCCAAATGATTCTTAGACGACTTTAAATAGTCTGCTGTCAAGTGCTGTATCAGTGGTAATCTAAAGCCTAGCCCTGCTGACTTGCTGTTGCTTTGCGCCTTATGACCTAGACGGCTCTTAACCTTGAGCATACCTCTGATACCTAGACCTCTGACGTGTGAGGTCAGGAGCCTGTCTCAAAAAGAATAGACCTAAAAGTATCAAAGGAGGACAGCAGAATGAATAGCTGGCATAATGTGTTTGCAAGCTATTGTGTGTGTTTGAGAGAATACCAGAGTGACTTTAGCTGCTAAGATAATGAACTGAGTTTTTAGTTTGAAGGAGAGGTGACTATAGAAGAGAAACGATAGTTCTATTAAATCATCATTGGTATGGAGAGAGTAATAAAAAATAATAAACCATTGCTGCATATAACATGAGACATAAAGGATACTCAGTAAATTTTAAGAACTAGGAAATTTTTTTGCCACACAGTGAGAGTGTGAAGCTTACGAGTTGAATTGTGAAGCTTGTTCATATGAGTTTCACCTGTATGCCAACTCCAGAATGTATCTTAACAGATCATGCACTCATATGTAAATATTTTCTTAAACAACAGTGCAGTTCTTGAGCCCCTCTCCTTTGGGAACGTTAGGCCAGCATTCAAAAGGATAAGTTTCTGGTTCCTACATACTGCTTGGGATCAAAAAATAGTAAAACTCAAATTTCTGAGCCAAGAGCCTTTCCTGATTTTTCTCCCTTTCTTACTTGCAATGTTTAATGTTCATTCTTGCAGACAGTGAGATAGGTGGTTTGTTATCTTTTTTTCTTATGTGTCACTCTGTACTGATAATGAGAGAAAATGCTAGCAAACAGCAGTTTGAGAAAAGCTGAATCCATACTCTGCAGAGTTGCAAGGCATTTTAAAAAGTGTTTTAATTTATATTTGACCTTGCTGACTTTTTTTTTAGACTGCAAGAAAGACTTTTATCTGCATCACCCTGTGAAAGTAGCAGTGGGACCAGAATGTCACTTGCCATATGGACAGAATTAACTTACAGTAATGAGTGGCATTTGGATATGCATCTTTGGTCCCAAATATGTTTATGTAGCCCTTACCTCAAGGCAGCAGAAATATAAGGGAGTACAGAAGTCATGAAAGATATTCGAACAGTACTTTTGGTAAGGTATCCAGATACAGCCCTAGCTTAGGCAGTGACTGTTGATTTGATAGAGGGTAGAAGGCATACACTAAGCAAGTGTTATGCTCTCCCCATGAACATGTGGTACCGGCTATTAGTAAACAGTCAATACCAAGTGAGGTGGACCTTGTGTTGTGTTGCAGCAGTTCTTTGCCTCCGTTTTCATTTGTGCATGTTTTCTGGAGTTATTGGATGAATTATTCCTTAAAAATGCAGAAGTTGTCTAACCAGGGAAGGTTTAAATATCCAGTTGTGGGAAGCTGTCTTCTGCATGAGAAATACTTTCTAGTTTCTCACTAGGGACCAGAAGCTAGCTGTATTCTGTTTTTCCTGCCTGTTAAAGTATAAATTGATTAAAGGAACCATCCTCAGTACAACAGAGCCTTCTTTAAAACAAAGTTAAAGGGTTTTCCCAACACAAGTGTATCCAGGGAATGATTATTCCTTTCAGATACAACATGAATTGGTAGCTGGATCTGAGCTAAGGATCTTTACTTCTCCAGCTTGATGCATTAATTGGGCAAGGTGAAAAATGAAGTTAAGCAGTGAGAGGAGAGAATTGATACTCTGTATATTTTTGCCACAATCTTCTGTCACAAAGGCATTTACGTTTCAATAAAAGCTTGTTACAGTATCTGTAAGGTACAGAAAGCTTCCCAGGAGGTGGTGGAGTCCCCATCCCTGGAGGTGTTTGAGTAGAGTTGACATAGCGCTGAGGGATATGGTGTGGTTGGGAACTGTCAGTACTAGGTTAACGGTTGGACTGGATGATCTTCAAGGTTCTTTCCAACCTACCTGATTCTCTGATTTTGTAAAGGGAATCCATTGAAGCAGTAAATTTGCACAAGGCTGTTTGTCTTGATAAATTTTTCTGTCCCTGAAACAAACCTTCAAGGCCTAGGCAACTGAGTACTAGCATCTGACTTAAATTTTTAAAAAGGAGGACTCTGGAAACTACCAACCAGTCAGTCTCACTCTGTGCCTTGTAAGATCATGGAATAGATTTTCCTGGAAGCTGTGTCAAGGCATGTGGAAGACAGGAGGCTGATTAGAGGCAGCTGATGTGTCTTCACAGAGGTCAAATCATGCCTGACTAATTTGGTGCCTTCTGTGATGGGAGTGGCTGCTTTGGTGGATTAAGGAAGAGCAACTGATGTCATCTATCTTGACTTCTGTAAGGTCTTTGACACAGTCCCACACAACAGCTTTGTCACTAAATTGGAGAGGTATGGATTTGATGGGTGGACTGTTTGGTGGATAAGGAATTGGCTGGATGGCCATGTCCAAAGTGTTGCATTCAATGGCTCAACATAGAAATGAAGATCAGTAACAAGGAGTGTCCCTTGGGGCTCTATTGGGACCGGTACTGTTCAGTATCTCTGTTAACAACATAGGTAGTTAGTGCACCCTCAGCAAGTTTGCAAATGACACCAAGCTGAAGGGTGCAGTTGATGTACTCGAGGAAAGAGATGTGCCATCCAGAGGGACGTGGACAGGCTTGAGAGGTGGGCCTGGGCAAATGTCATGAAGTTCAACAAGGCCAAGTGCAAGGTCTTGCACATGGGTCAGGACATTCTCCAATATCAGTACAGACTAGGGTGTGAATGGATTTAGAGCAGCCCTGTGGAGAAGGACTTGGGGGTACTGGTGGATGAAAAGCTGGACATGAGCCAGCAATGTGTGCTCACAGCCCAGGAAACCAATTGTATCCTGGGCTGCATAAAAAGAAGTATGTCCAGCAGGTCAAGGAAGGTGATTTTTCCCTCTACTCTGGTGGGACCCCACTGAACATGCAGTTCTGGGGGCCACAGTACAAGAAAGACACAGACCTGTTGGATTGGGTCCAGAGGACAGCCACAGAAATTATCAGAGGGAAGGAACACCTCTCCTACAAGGAAAGGCTGAGAGAGTTAGAGTTGTTCAGCCTGGGGAAGAGAAGGCTCTGGGGAGACCTTACTGTGGCCTTTCAATATATAAAGATGGCTTACATGAAAGAGGGAGAGAGATTTTTTTTATCAGGGCCCGTAGTGACAGGACATGGGGCAACAGTTTTAACTAAAAGACGGGAGGTTTAGATTGAACATCAGTAAGAATTTTTTTATGCTGAGGGTGGTGAGACACTTTGGAAGAGGTTGCCCACAGAAGCTGTGGCTGCCCCCTCCCTGGCAGTGTTCAAGGCCAGGCTGGACAGAGCTTGGATCAACCTGATCCAGTGGAAGGTGTCCCTGCATGTGGCAGGGGAGTTGGAACTATGTGATCTTTCAAGGTCCCTTCCAACTCAAATCATTCTCTGATTCTATCATTCTGTGATTAGACCAAGAGTTGAAAAATAGTGGACTTAAAAAGATTGGTTTTACAAAGACTTTATTCCATTACTTTAGAGACCTTAGCATTTCATGTGACTTCCACTATTTTAAAGATCATTAGTCTTAATGTGATTTGTCTCCTTTTCCTATCAGGATGACAGTGACGTTTATATTTTGACTAAAGTATCAGACATTTTGCACTCAATATTCAGCAGTTATAAGGAGAAGGTACTGCCATGGTTTGAAAGGCTGCTTCCACTAATTGTCAACCTAATTGTAAGTAACTTGCTTTCTTTTAATTTGATTTTTATTATGTTTTTTTCTGATGTGTTAATGGGTCTTCCATGCTGGAATCTTGGAGGTCTTGGTAGGTAGAATGTAGAGCCATCCACTGTACATGCCATCCCATTGTAGAGCCAATGTTTTACAAAACAGAGGCAGCTGAAGGTTTATCCTGCATCAAGTATGAAGTTGATAGTCTGCTTTTTGAACAGTTGCACTGCTGTGCTACTTCTGATTTTTGTGTTGCAAGACCCAGGATCATTGAGGCACACGAGTATTTTGAGAAATTTAATTTACCTGGGACTCTCCAGTGATCTCTAAAATGGATTTCAAGAAGAGGGCTGGAAAAGTGCTGCAGACTAGTGAGGAAAATTGAGACTGAAATAGGTAACAGTGTGAAATAGAGGTAAAGGATTTTAAGGATAAAATCATTATTATTTTAATTAGCTGAGATAATCATCTGGATTTTGTTTTGTTTATGGTATTGCTGCAAGTTATCACTACAGAAAACTATATATTTGTGGGTTGAAATTTAAGCCAGGAAGATTTTAACAGAAACACTAGACCTCTGTTGCTATGATTGTTCTGTTGGTATAATCACTGACTGTACAAAACCTTACAATTTTAAGGTGGCTTAAATGTTACCTGTTTTGATGCAGTGTCCACATAGGCCATGGCCAGACAGGCAGTGGGGACTATGCATTTTTGATGATATTGTGGAACACTGCAGCCCATCCTCATTCAAGTATGCTGAATACTTCCTGAGGCCAATGCTACAGTCAATATGTGACAACAGCCCAGAGGTTAGGCAAGCAGCTGCCTATGGTGTTGGAGTTATGGCACAATTTGGTGGGGACAGCTATCGCCCTTTTTGCACAGGTACGTACATGCATCTGATAAAACTATTTGTGTGATGCTGAGGGGAAAAAAATGTTAAAATTGCTCACCTTTTGGTTAGTGATGTTTCTTCCCTTTGGCAGTGAAATAAATTGCCAGTATAACCTGTGTGGCAGACTGGTGATGATTAGTAAAGTACCTGAATTCCTTGGGCTTTTAATGATGTTTTGCTTAGTAGCATTTCTGTTGCAGCACTTACTGCTTAGCAAACTTATGTCTTTTTTTAAAAATATGATCTGACATGCAAATGTTGATTTTGTAAAAAATAGTTTTCTGGTACACACCTGTCTCAGTTGCTTTTTATTAATACTAATGTGGTTGCATTTTATTAATGCAAAACCCTCTGGATGTCTGGAAAAATTATACAAGTAACTTGGATTGAGTAGCCTAGAATACAACTAATGTGGCTTTCTGCTTTTCTGTAACATAAAAAGAAGGAGCCTGATTTCTGTGACTAAGAAATGAAATGAGTATGATAATGCCTATCAGAAACACTTCATCTGCTTGCTTTCTGAATGCCTCGAGTTTCTTTAAAACTTCAAATGTGTCTTGAATTTAAAGAAATTGTCTGCTGGCACTCTTCTTGCCAGTCAACAAAGTTAATTTTGCATACTAAATAGCAGCCCTTATGGGAGGTGATTTTTTTTTCCTTTTTTGAGAAAATATTTAGTCATCTGTTTCAAATATGTATTTTACATGAATCTTAAATGAAAGCTGAATTAAATGATGTAAGAAACTAAGAACCATGTGATAGGGTTAAATTAGGGCTTTGACACAAGTCTTATATCAATAGAGGTAATTTTCACTGTTAATGTAAATGTGACTGTCACATAGTGACAGTCGAGATGAGGTGTCTTTTTTAAAAAAAAAAAAAAAAGAAAAAGCATGGGATAAACCTTGCAGTGGAACATTAAGAGCACTAAAATTCTAATTTGTCTAGAAAAATACTTTATAAAAAGATTTTTGTTTTTTGCGAACTATTTCATAAGTTGTTTTACATCTTGTCCCAAGACTGGAGGCGAGGAGACTGTCAAGACAGTTCTGATTTTGGAGTTTTGGGGGGTTTTAGCATCTGTTGAAGTCTTAATTTTATTTTTGATTTGTTAGACTTGATATCTTGACCCACTTAAAATTTGTAACAACTTTCATCCTTTTCTTTGTGTTTGGATAGATAATTCTTGATTAAACCCAGACACTTGGCTTCTCCTTTAGTTGGATGTTTAGATAAAATAACTTTTTTACTTTACAGCATACAGCTTATTAGCAGGCAGTATTCTAAGTACTTTTGTATGTAAATAAAAAAACTTTGTGTTTTAATAGATGAAAATGTGTTGTGATTACAAACAAAGTAAATATGTCATGAGAAGCTTTTCTACCCCATAGGTTTTACTGCCTTCTCTGAAAACATCATGTTTGTGAGCTTTTATTTGTAATGTAGTTTCTTTGCGGATTAATATATAGCACTGGCTTATTGTTCTAGTGCAAGTTTGGAGCAGTATGTAAAGACTCAAGAATATTAAGAAAAAGCAGATATATTAACGTGAGTGGGTTTGCTGAAAAAATACAGGAATACAGGGAGAACTTGTAAATGGCACAAGAGCTACATTATGATGAGAAAAATAATTAAAAATAGAATTAGTAAAGAATGAAGATTGAAGGAACAACTACAGCAAATCAAGTAATTTTCTAAGTGGGCTTATGGTTTATGTGACTGCAAACTTTACCTCTGTTTCTTATGTTAGTGTAAGAATATAATCAGCTATGCTCTGTGTGCACTGTATTAATGAACTGCATGTGTTTCTTCCTAAATAATATCCATGACCTCAACTTTTGGTGGTGCAGCATGTCAGAGCAGTCAGTTCTTAGAAAAAAAACCCTATTATTGTTATTATAGAATATGGTCTTTTATAGTCAAAAGAGGCTTTTTTAGGGATTCTCTGCCACAACATCTATGTGAGAATAGATCTGTTTTCTAGACAAGAAGAAAACCTGTCTGCTAAACTGTAGGGAGGAGACTATGCTGATCCATTTTGAGGCCCTCCTAATCTTATGGCTGCAAGGACACACATACCTACAGAGTCATCTGTTAGTATTAAGGAGTATGAGGAAACATGGATGAGATTTATCTTCAGCAGTCATGAGAACCTGAGGTATAAGATGCAGACTCAGTTTGCCTGGACACTATAGACTTCCATGAAACAAATTCTGCTTTGCAAAGTCTGGCATTGTTATCCTGCATTCAATACACAAGCTAGTGGGTCTGATGACCAGTGTTTATCAGCCCCGTAAAAGTATTCTTGTCTAGCTTAGGGTTAATCATATTCTTCCGTAGCTGCTAAATTCTTCAAAAATCTAATTCAGTGAAGTTAATGTAGCAAGTGTCATTGTGTATTTCTTAACTGCAAAGCTGCTACTTACTCATCAGAATGAAGTAGTGTGAGATCTTGCTCTTGCTTAGTAATTGGAGTTATTCTTAAGTGTGCATTCTGCACAGCTTCACAACCTGTTTTCTGTGCTGATACAGAATTTCACAGCTTTAGCATTCTGTTTTTAGCAGAAGAACACAAGGACAATTGTTCCTGCATGCATGTAGAATGCTCTGAAATCTGCATGGACACTAGTAACTAAAAATGTGACATTAATGTTCATTTAGAAATGTGCATGTCATTATCCATGTGACTTAAAAAAGAAAAAAGCTATTAACATAGCAAGAAAATTGGCATTTTTCCTTGATGTTTGTTATGATCTTAAACCATGCCAGATGGATTCACCAGATGATATTACTCCTATGAGCTCTTCCTAGTGCACCTTTTAGTGGTGGGAGATGTGTATGTGTATATATCTATATGTGTGCAGAAGCAATAGATGATGTACAGCAGGCATACACTGTAGACATGCACTACAGTCCAAGTTAATGTGAATGTCACTGTATTGGTGCTTTTCTTCATCTCGTGTTTATAGAACCTATTAGATTTAAAAGATAATGCTTATTATCTGTGTTTTTACTATACATGACAATGTTTTGTATATTGTAGATTGCATAACTACAATTGAAAGACAAAAGAAGGGGTTTTTTTCCTTCTGAACTTATCAAGCAAATCCAGACATTTGCAGTAGCTGTTTTCTCATGTTTCCTTGCATAGCTTTATTTATCTGTTCGTTTTTCATATGATGACTATTGAGCAGAGAAGAACCTAGAAGCAGGAGGACATTGGGATGACTGGATTTTGGTGCTTGAGCCACAAAAAAAATCCCATTTTTAATACATGCAGTAGTCCCATGTAGAATTTGTGATGTTAATGAAATATAACTTGATTGTGCATTAAACTTTATTCTTGTGTTGTTTACCAATTAGAGGCACTTCCACTGCTGGTGAGAGTCATTCAGTCACCAGATGCCAAAACCAAAGAGAATGTCAATGCAACAGAGAACTGCATTTCAGCTGTAGGAAAAATAATGAAGTTCAAGCCTGACTGTGTAAATGTTGAAGAAGTCCTGCCACACTGGTTATCATGGCTTCCACTTCATGAAGATAAAGAAGAAGCTGTTCATACTTTCAATTATCTATGTGACTTAATTGAGAGGTAAGACAAAATCTTGACATTTAATGCACAAAGTAAACCTGTTTGCAGGTTCATTCCTCGCATTCATTTTCCAAAACTGAGAAACTGACGGGTTAATCTGTATTTGCTTTAGAGAAGATAATTTGGAATGTCAGAACTGAGCCTTCCATGATGTTATTGCTGTTTTCTTAAACAGTGAGTGTTCTCATCCTAACTAATGCCTTGAAACAATTTCTGGCTGCTTTAGATGTATATGATGGGAAAGGATCAGCTGGGAACTTCTGCAGAAAATTTCAGGAAAATTTTTGATCCTCTGCTTACATATCAGCATTAATAATTGATGAGGTCTTTTTACTTAAGAGCAACACACATGCCCTTGCAGTCTTCTTTTCATAACCTTTTAAAGTAGCTTTGCACCTTTTTGCTTTCCAAGAGCTTGAGTATCAACAAAACAAAGTATGAAGTAGAGAAACAATACTAATAAATTCATGGTACGGTGCTATCTCCCTTAATAAATTTTTAGTAATTATTTCAGTTATTATTGAAATAATCTTGTCCCACAGCTTGTTCATTAGATTTGCGCTTCCTCCCATAGGTTAATGGAGAGAAAAAAGATAATAATTCTATTGTGGGTGCAAGTTGAACTTCATAACTGAGTGGAAGAATGTCAGCTTCTGAAACATGTAGTAGCTATCTTCTGGCTGACACTGTATTATATCTTAGTAGAAAACCAGCAAGGAGATTATTTAGATTTCCTACAGTCTTCTCTACTGTGTGAATACCTTGTATCTCTTGGTGCTTTATTAAGGCAGGGTCTTAAAATGGGTGGTGGCAACTGAGGTCCCTAGACTGATAATGGTGCGGTTGTGTAGAGACATCATAGTAATACTGACACATATGCGTACACGCATGTGTACAGAAATCAGGAATTACAATCAGTTTTGAACCCAGCTCTGTGCAGGTGGCTCAGCCTTGCTATGTATTTTTCTGTCAGTCCGACATTCACAGCCTCTGCATTCCAGCAGTGGTAGGTGGCAGGGCTGGAAGTAGATCATGTTTTCCACCCATCTCACTGGTTGCCAATACTCCCCTACCCCAGCACTTGGCTGGGAAAGAGGGAGCAGAACTGTTTACTTGCTGTGTTGGTGAGTGCTGGCAGAGAGCTAAGTCACTGGTGCTCCTGACGCCGGTAACACAACCTCCTCCAAGAGGAATAAGCCCTTTTAGTAAGGGTATTTCTGTCACACTGTTTACAGTTGAATTTGCATGGAACTCAACTGTTCTGTAAAGTTCAGATCTTCTTCCTGATAAAGTGTAGGCTGATTGAAGAATCAGCTGGTTAAATATTAACTGGAGAGGGAACATTCTGTCAGCAGGCAACAAAGCTATGCATACTTATTCAGCTGAGTAAAACTTAGATGTAAATCACTCAACTTACATGTAAAACTCTTGCATTACTTTTACTTTTTTAGCTAAACATTAATTTATTTGTATTATGTATTTTGATTGTAACAGCAACAACCCAGTTGTCCTTGGTCCCAACAACTCTAACCTGCCCAGAATATTTTGTATAATAGCGGATGGTGAAATTCATGAAGCTATTAAACATGAAGATCCATGTACCAAGCGGTTGGCTAATGTTGTTCGCCAAGTGCAGGTAAATAAATGCTTGATTAGGTATAAAGGGAACGTTTAGAATCTACTTCCAGAAGTAACAAAACTGTTAAACCAATTTTGAGAGGCTTGTCTCCTTAGAGAATAATGCTTCAACCAGTGATCTTGGGGATCCTTGCGCATTCCTTGCACATTCCTTGCACCATTAATGATAAAACTTGGTAACATTTGCACTTGAATAAAGTCTGTCTCCTTTGACAAACTTCAGAAGCTTATTAATTTATTTTTTTTTAAAAAAAAGCTTTAAGATATATGCAGCTGAATGAGTAACATGCTAGCCAGTATTAGTTGTTTATGTTGGGTTTTTTTTCTGAGCCAGAAATTAAAATCTGGAGAGGAATCTGACTGTCTTTGTATCAGTGAACTGTACTGCAGGATTTGATCCAACATGTGGTTCCTCTAAGAGTCCCTGGCACCCTGTAGTGGCTCACTGATGTAGCAGAGGCTTGGGATCTTTGCTAGAGAATGGTTGCAAAGCACAAGTAATTTTACTAGTGCCCGCTTTAATGCAGTGCAAATATAGGTAGCTGTTCAATGTTTTCCCTACCTTTGGGGAACTGCCTCAAGGTTTATTTCTCTTATGCCATAATGGGTACTTAATGGTGCTGGGCACTGGGGATGTCCAAGTATTTAAGCTGTGCCTCTCTACAATGTTGTGACAGTGCTCATAGGTCAGATCTGATCTGGGGCCAAATGTTATGAGGTGGACGTACTTGACAGTTGCAGCATCTAATGATAGAAAGTAGTGTGCCTGGCAAGGACATAGCTTATAAAAATGTGTAGAGGATTTGGAGCAGCAGCTGTTCAATTACCATCCATTCTACCTGGTGTGCTTTGGCAAAACCCAGGTTCAAAAATTTTAGGAATATTTGATTTTGGAAAGGATTCACTTGGATGAGTGTTATTGGCCTGCAAGATCCATTATGTCTGTTAGAAAATTACCTGTTAAAACTCCAAAAGCATATAAAGAATGAAATCAAGCAAAGTTTCAAAGTGAAAATGGTATGAGTGGCTGTTCTAGATTCTGGCTGGCAGATACGAATCCTTGCTGTTAATACTTAAAAGTCTGGGTATGGATCTCTATATTTAGGATATGCTGATGCATTTGTTTGCTTTATCTTAAATGCTCAATGTTAGTTTAATTTTGTTTTTAACAATACAATGGCACATACATTTATAGATTAGTTGTGTATATCAAAGTCTTGCTTTGGCCAGGAATGATAGCATTAATGTGGCAACGATTTCTGCATTGGTTAAATTATTTACCTTCAGACTGTGGGGAAAAAAATCTTAAAAGGTCATGGTTTTTTAAAGATACAATTTTAGCATGCTGCTACTAGTCTTATCTCTCTTCACACATAGTACTCTGACTTTATTAAAGCACTGTAAATGTTTTATACCATGGTAGGAACTTTAAAGGCTGTGTAGTTGCTAACAGTCTGCTTGCTGCTTCCCAGATTCCAGGAGAAAAACTGTTTGTTTGGATTTTTTATGATCTCAGTAAGCTCTTCCACTGCCAGTATATAACATGAGCAACATTATGGTCATAGTTGGAATTAAACCTTTTTCCTTATGCTTAGGTATTCTCATTTCAGTGTAGAGTATCAATTTAAACGTGTGTGAGGAATGCTGGAAGAGCACATTTCATTCTGCAATATTCCACTATACATTGAGAGTCTAAAATGTCTAATTACTTAAAACTAAAAACACAAACCCAAACTCAACTTGAGGACTGTTTTCAAATTCTTTCAAATTATGTGAATCCATTTTTATTTGATTTTTTTTAAAAAATGTGTGAGAAAAGGGCATTATAATAGAGCTGAACATAAAATATACCAAATATAAATTAAAACATATTTAAAAAATTTACTTTAAGTATACTGCAATTGCAAAAGCCAATCTAAAGACCTACAGCCAGTCACCTGCCATTTTTTTTTTTCCCTATCATGGCCCTTTTAAAGAAAGCAGGGTGCCAGTTGCTTCCAGCTTCTATTGTTAAGTCAATAAATACTTTTTCCCAACCTTTTTGAATTTTAAGCATTTTCTGGTACTATTAGAACCAGACCCTACTGATGGTGACTTTAAAAGCTAATGTCTCGGCCAAGGGCTGTGGTAACACAGATGAGGTACACTGAAGGGCAGGAAAGTGTGAGTTGCTGTTTACCCAGCTAGATGCTGCATACATGTTGTTCTCTCTGGGAAGTAATTAATTCCTTTCATTAAAGAGTAATGCTGTGTTGGCATCAGAGTTTTGCAAGTAGACGCACAGTATATGTAGCATGTCATGCTGCAATCACAGTGTTCCCTTCCTGAATGTGTCACTGGAGCACCAGTGCCCAGAAGATACTCTCGCATTTAGGCATGATTCAGTTTTGTCTAAACATTGATCTTTGAACTTTAGCAAATATTTTTGGCTATGGTTAACTGAAAAGCGTCAATTGTCATTTGACCTGCTTAGTTACAGGAGGTTCCCGGGAGTTTCAGATTAATTACTTTGCTGCTATTTAATGAGAGCTTGACTCTGCATTTTGGAGCATCTGTAGTTGAACCTATGTAGGACTGTATATAACCGAAGATTTCAGTCTGTTCTCTTTAGCATATATTACAGGAATAAGCCCAGTGAATGCTGAGCTTTGTAAACATACGAAAGTTTAGCATGTGCCTTAGAAGCTTGTCAGCTTGCATAAAGACAACTTCTCGTTTGTTTTCTAGACATCTGGAGGACTGTGGACAGAATGCATATCACAGCTCAATGCAGATCAACAGGCAGCCATACAGGAGCTCCTGAACTCTGCTTGAAGGGCCTTAATTATCATCTGCAAGAAAACTAACTCCAAATAAACGTTTACCCTATTGTTTAGGTTTCTTTTGTTTCTTTTTTGAGTAAAACCAGAACTGTAGTGCGTGTAGGCCATTCTTCTGCAACCTACAGGCAGTGGCAGCAGGAAGAAGCATTCTTTCAGAACGGTGTTTAAAATGGTTTTTATCCCACAACACAGAAGAAGTTTCCTGTAAACCCTACAATAGCACTGAAGAGTATTTTTCTAATGGTATAAGCCATCCATACGATGGTGAAAGGGAAACAAGTTGAATTTTCTCATTAGACATAATGAATTAAGAAACAGCTTTAAGACCTTCAGCAGTAGATGTACGTTATAACAGATAAACGTTTCTCTACATCTAGTGTTAATTGTATTAATTGGAGTGTGAGTCTTTGTAGGGTAGAAAGTGTCCTTCTGCCCAGCAAGTTAGTAGATCAAAAGATGAAAAACTGAAGACAAACATCGAGCATGAAGACCTCATTGATCGCACTTTCAGATTCCCGAAAACAACTTGTACAGTGACTCAATGAGGAAAGCTGTTCAGCTTCCAGCCCTTGAATGTGAAGTCTCTTTGGCATGTCTGACAGTATCTCATTCACTCCTCAATAAATGACATTGAAACACAAGAAGCTTGTGTAGAAGTTCAGTGATGTGTGGTTCTTTTAATTTCCTCTGGTGAAAAGATGCAAGTATACAAGCTCTACAAGTCATGATTTTATATTTGAAACTTTGTACGTTGTTGCCTATTAGAGATTTTATGCATTTTTATTTCTTGACTTTTCAACAAACTTTTTGCCTGAGTGTGTAGAATGGAAACTTAATGGCATTCCTTTTATGACAGTAAGTTTACGTATCTTGACTTAATGTTTTTCATGCTCAGATGCAGTTGCATTTCATAACTTTTAAAATATAGTGTTCCAGCTGCAAATGTGCAACATGATCTGTCAGCCAGTGATACTGTTATGGTAGTCTCCGTTTTGTTTAAAATAATCATATAGTTGATAGCCTGACCTGAAAGAACCAAAAAACTTTTTTTTTTTTTTTTTTGGTACTGGAAGAGCAATAAATACATCATTTACCAGCTAACATAGCAGCAAACAAGCATAGAGCATCTGATTTCTAACAAAGGTGAGTGATGCTTTTGCACTCTATTACTTTGAAGATGTTAGTAGAGGCATTGATCTTAAAAAACTTCAGTTTACTGAATTATTCTTCGAGTCAATCTTGGTAGTCTCTAAAAACATACAAATATTTTCACAGAGGTTGTAAGTTTTCTTCCATTATAACAAGAAAAGGTATAACTTCATGTGTAGTAAGTTGCTCTCTTACTAAAGAATAAACTTAGTTTTGCCCTTGGAAATGTTTAAAACCAAAAACCAGTACAGGATGAGGTGTACCAAAACCAGCCCAGGACCATTATATCCAAATGTTTGTGACACAAAACTGCCATAACCATAAGGGTTGACACTGTAGTTTGTTTAGAGGCAGCTGAAAGTGTAATAAAGTATCTACTGGTCCAGTGTCTCATTTGTTAAATATTATTAATCTTGTATTTACAGAAATTCAACCATTCATACACCTGGAAAATGAACTGGTAAGGATTAGATACCAGTACTGTGAGAGAACTTGTAGGTCAGATCAGTTATCTCAATGCTGGTCCCAACTACAAAAACTGTGATGTATCATATCCATCCTCTTTGCGTGTTTGTTTTTTGTGTTGGTTTTTTTTAAGTATTTTTTATTTTTATTTCCCCTCAGCATTTACATTTTCCCCTGCATCTTGCTCTTTGTCCTTTTTCTTAAAACTTCAGGATTAATTTTTTTTAATTTTCTCTTCTTTGGACTACCACTTTGTAGACAAAATAGTAGCACAGTTAGTATTTTCCCAAAACAGCATCAACTTTGGCTCCCTGTAAGAGAGTAGTATTTGAATTGCTCTCCTAATGGACCCACTTTAATCTTCTTTCCTTCCTTTCAGTCCATGTGAATGAGAACATATAAAACTAGGAGATGGGGTTGCTTTTGTGTGCCAGAGCCAGCACAGAGTAACTTTGTGCAATTGCTTCTACCTTGTTAATTGTTTTATCAAAGAAAAGGGCACTGAGTGAGTCACTGTGCCAGTCTGACAGCTAGGTCAGTTCCAGAGAGTAGCGGGAGATCTCATCTTGCCTGTCCCCACTGAACTTGTCAGGGTTGATTCAAAAGCTCCTGTAGCATTCTCTCAACTCATGCAAGCTTTAAAAATTCTGTACTTGCTTTCCACCTATTTAAAAGCTGTCTGAATCAATCTTAGCCTTTCAGGTTCATTAAGTGATGACTGCAGTACAGAATTTTTTAGCAACCAATCTTCATCTTCCACAGTACTGAAGTACTGTTGACCAAAGTACAGTGGAACAGTAGCTTTATCTGCAGCTATCAAAGAATGAAAAGTCATATTAGGAAGGAGATGAAGCAATCTAACTGGTACTGTTTCCTGAGTGTAACTCCAATCATGCTTTATCAAAAAGCTCAGCCAGTGCATTTGGTAAGAGGTGTACCTAATGTTGCAAACAATAGCAGTGCCCTGATTTGTCAGAACAAAGAGGTACTGAATCCACCCAATCTGTCCAAGCAAAAGTGTTCAAAGCTGTACTTGATAACAACAAAACACAACTAGAAAACTCCCCGTGCTTTGGACAGTGTTCCAGTACTGCAGTTTCATTAGCTAATTTAAGCATATAATAGTAACTAGTATTTGTGAGCGTTGCTTTTGGAAGTAGCTCATCTGAAGCTTAGGTGAGTTTCCATCTAAACTCTCATCTGTTCTTACTGTTGTGAAGGTGAAACTGCTTGCTTTTTGTTTGCAGCTCTAGGTTATTCATGGAAGATACTAATGCAGATAAATGTCTAGTCTCCTTTGCCTGGCTTTGTCTACAAGATCTCCCTGAGAATCCAGTGCAGAACCTGTAGGAAAGTGACTTGTAGACTGCATCTTTTCAACACGGGTGTACTGCTGTGGCATTCTGTAATTGCTTTTTCTCTGCAGAGACCTCAAAGTAATGCTGAGTGCAGGGGCTCGTATTCCCCAGCATAGAGCAGTTGTTATTAGGCCAGTTGTCTGTTGTTCTCTACACATCTAGAACTTAGTCTCATGTATGGAGTACACGTGTGAGAGTAAGACGTGTTGCACAGTTGGAATTTTTGATGAAATAAAGAACTGAGGAAGGTGAATTTCCTGATGACTCTGTATGCATATATGTACTGGGTATGCAGCTGCCTTGAGCTCTTGAACTGGAGCTTTATTTTCGCCTTCATGGTATCTATAGGGGTACATGCATACACTGAGTCCTCCAAATACAATGAGGGTGGTATTAATATGAAAGTCAAGTATTTGCTACCCCATGTTTTTTTCAACTTTGAAGTATTTCACTGTGCATCATTGGGGAGCAGTTTTAGCCTTTGCTGTTTAATCATTCATTCCTCTCTTATTTTGCTAACTTAGCCAATTGTACTTACTTGTATGGGGCTTGATGGTCCTTTAAATTCAAAGAAATGCATTTGTTGTCTTCCAAGAAGCAGTAAACAGGATCTAATCTTCTGTCTAGTGGAGGCCCTTTCCCATTTTTTGATTATCATGAAGGTGTTTGTATTGCTGCAGGAAAAAACATCTCTCAGGACAGCTTACCCCATCTGTTGAGACTTCAGAGATACGGGCTCAATATTGGATAAAAGTCACGGGATTTGTCTCACCCGATACTGGATATCTGTAGCAGTTTGATATAAATAATTGTCTGCAGCCCTATTCAGTGGAGGAAAACAGGTGTGACTAGATGATATATTTTGCATAAGGGAGTGTTTGACACTAAAGGGGACTACTATCTGAGTTGGTGCTGATAGATGAGAAATAGTTAGTATCTCTGGTGGTTCTTGGGATGGTGTTCATTATTGGCAGTTTAATGGCTCACTGAATAGCCTCAGTACTAGTTCTATAATACAACTACTCAAACACTTTGATTTCCTGGAATTTATTCTTTTCCTACTCTTAGAATCAATCAATTAAAAAAAAAATCCTTTCTGTAAAAGTCCAACCCCTACTGCCTTCTCATATCAGCTCTCAAGGAGATTTCACTAACTCTTGAGGTGTTTCACATTGACAGTTAACCTACCTGCTATTCCCCATTCAAAGGTGTGATTTAGAAGATGCTTCTGTTTCTGGAGGGTGTAAGCTGCCTCCATCAATACCCCTGTTTGTCATCTATTTAGACAGATTTCTCTCTGGTTTATGCCTCAGACTAATATACTAATTACATGCTATTAACATGTATAATAACAAGTTAGTGCCTCTGCCACTAGCAAATTAATTTTCCTCTTTCACAGGAGCCTCATTCAGGAGACATTACCCACTGCTATAGCCCTAGAAGCCATAAATTTGGTTTGCTTTTAGTTCAGGAAAAGGTTTCCAATGTATCTTCTCTGACACAAAAGGTATGTGAGGAATGGAGGCCCGTTCAGGACATGAGACAGTTGTATGTTTTGTGATTTTTGAATACTAAGCTCAGTAACAATATGGTTATTCCAGTAGAAATCTGGGTTTGTCTCCCAAGTTTCAGAACACTTTTCTGTATCAGAGTATTTGCTTTTCAAAGGTGCTGTCTTGTTCCTTCACAGCCCAAGTATTTGGTCTTTACATTGGTTGGAAGTTCACAGATTTTGCTGGCAGAATTGACTCTGATCTTTCTAATTACCTGATAGAGAAGAAACCCCATAGCCTCTCAGCTCTTCTATTTAGAAAATCAGCCTGGGAGTGGCAGCCTGGGATGATGAGCTCCAAGTGTTCTTGCAAGGCTGGAGTTAGTCTGAAATTCACCTCTTCTGTTTGGAGACAAGGAACAGCAATTTATGCTCTGGGGAGGCTGTTTCTACAATCTCTGAGAGATCTTTTCCTATCATTCTGGTTCAGACCAGTGATGTCATTTTCTCAGTTTTCAAGAAGGTAAGGTAGGACATAATATGTTCATGTCAGTTTTGATTTTTATGATTTTGCTTTCTCACTCCAGAGGCTGCCCATGACCTCACTTCAGGTACAGGGGATTTTGCTGCTAAACCGTGAAATCAAAATGTCTTCTGAGTTTAGTGTTGGTACCACTCTTGGTTTAAGAATAACTTGAGCTAATATAACACTAGATGCACACAAGTATTTGTAGTGGAGTTTCACTTATTTAGCAATAGATACTGAAAATTAACAGTAAGCAGTGAATGCCTTAAGGGTTGGGTTTTTTGGAGGATGTGGTATATGTTGCTGCTAGCAGAGGAGGTTCAAAGCTCTCCTGAGGTACTAGATGAGCAATACTGGTTGCTAGAATGGAATTTTGAAGTTTTCTTCCAGAAAAGCAGGAAGGATTCATGTTGGCAGATGCCCCCTAAGGGTAAATAGTGAAGTATTCCCAAGTTAGTGGTGACTGGTGGGCATCACAAATATAACTTCAATCAGTTTTGCTCAGAAGGTTGTAACGTCTCTCATTTTACCAACACCATTACATCTGCTTCCTACCTTTTGTGGGTGGCCAGTGTCTTTTGAAAGCAAGGAATGAGGCAAAAAGAAAGAGGATATTTCTTCAACTTACTATTTCTGCATTAATGTGTGACTGCTTTTTTTCTAAGTAACAACAGAAAATTATATTTCAAATATAGCTGAAGTATGTTTTTTCATGTCATATGTGCTGGTAAAAAAATGTTAGACATTATAATAACTGCACTGTCCCATCTTGAAGTGTCAGGTTTTTATGTAAATTGATTAAAAGATTTCATATTCAGTTCATATACTATCTTAAAAACTAATGTTAAACTTCCAACCAAAAAAAAAAACTTGATATAAAATTCGTGGTTTGGATTCAGACTGGTGAAAAATATGGTCGTAACACAGGATCTTGAATCAGGGAAGCAAACCTTGCCTGATTAAGTAAAATTATGCAACATCGCCATTTTTAAATATTTGAGAATAAAATGCCAAGAGATGTTTTTACCGTGGAATTTTGTCTGTTTAGAAGTTTCTATTCCTGGAAGAAAACCCCCCAAAAAACAACCCCCCCAAAAATTCTAATTTTTGCCAATAGTTAGCATGAAGAAGTGTGTGGATGCAGTGATATTTCACCAGTTCTGTGCTCCGGCTCGTTTCATCTGGCCAGTAGGTGGAGATGATACAATTTGAATATTAGAGGGCCATACAGTTGTTCTGGGGAAGTTTGCTACTTTACAGTCCCTATTTTTTTGGAAGGGTGCTTCTTATTAGGACCATTTTATAGGCGGAGTGTTAAACTATAACTTCTCTTTACTGGAAACCCGTGCACAGAGTAGGTAGTTTGTCTCAAGAACAGCCTATTATAACCCCAGAGAAAGAAAACAAGGAGAAAGGGGGAGTGTTAAATCAATACAGGTTTAACCAGGTCTTCTCCCTATCCCTGTTTCTCCTATCATTAAAAAGCCTGAATAAAGTACATGCATGTAAATAAAGGCCTCATTGTAAAATGAGACAGCCAT